TGTTATAAAATAAGAGCTGATTTCAAATGATGTAAAATTAGTATTTTATAATTATTTAGATTTAATTAAAACAGATAAATAACTTAAAAATTTATTGATGATATACTGAAAAGAATATCTTAATTATCCTTCCTTTTTATTTATAACTAGGGATTTTAAATATAAAAATTTAGTAAATGAAGAATACTAAAATATTATAGGTACAATTTAATTTATTCTTTTTTCATCTATTAAAATCATAACTATATTCTATGATTATAAGTAACAGGATAATTGAGTGAGAAGTAGTGCAACTATTTTAATGGTTATTAATAACAAATATGATTTAATATTTTAAATATTCCTTGATATAAATATTTAACAAAAATACCATCTTATTTAATAAAATTATGATTGATTAATTGAGAATAGAAGTAGAATTTTTGAAAAAAAAGTAATTAAGTATTTTTCATCATGTAAATTAAAGTTTAGATTTTTAAGAAAATATGATATTTGTAATATGATAGTATAAATATAAGAAATTTGATAACAATTTTGATTTTCTTTATTGATCACAAAATTAAAATAAATTAATGAACAGCGAAAGCGGGAATGATGACAAAGGAAACTTCTTTAAAAACATTCAAGCTCTATGGGATAGTTAATTAAAGGATTCTAAAGAGAAATGGTATTCTTTGGGTGATTAATATTGGAAAAAGATTGAACCAACATTAAAAGGTGTATTAGGAGGATTGGATTTTTTAAATAAAATTGACATCGAAGAATCTAACAAATTATTAACAATGCTTTATAAAACTCCTCTTTAAGATTTGAGAGTTCTTGATTGTGGGGCTGGTATAGGAAGTAAAGAAATTGATAATATGTTTATAATAGGAGTTTCAAAAGAGTTATTAATAAATTGGTTTAAAAAAGTAGATATAATTGAATAGAATCCCATTTATGTTGAAAAGGCAAGGGAAGAATTGGGAAATAAAATAAATGAATATTATTGTTCAGGTTTACAAAGTTTTGAGTTTTAGCATAAATATGATTGTATTTGGATATAATGGGTGGCAAGTCATTTAACAGATGATGATCTTATTCAATTTTTAAAATAATGTAAACTAAATTTGAATGAGAAAGGATATATCATTTTGAAAGAAAATATTACAAAGTAGGGATTTAGTTATGACACAGAAGATCATAGTGTCATAAGATCAGATCTGATGTTTAAATCAATATTTTATAAAGCTGGTTTGGATTTGAAGTTCAGTGGTTTATAACCAAATTTCCCTAAGGATTTATATTTAGTTAATCAATATGTGTTATAATGAATAAAAATTAAACTATTAATTGTGTGTGTTCAATATATAAATGACTTGATAATTATAAACTGACTTCACTTCATCTGCTAAATTAATAAGTATAATAATCCTTTAGTCTTGTTAGTATATATTTCAAGTTTAAAGACTTTAAAATTAATTATTTATATAAGTTCTTACCGTGTAATATAAATATTAATTAATCATCCCCTTTGTTAATTTATTATGTAAACAAGAAATTGGAGAAAGAAAAAATAACTTTTAGAAAAATTAGCGAGAAAAAATGAAGCATGTAATAGAGCAATAAATAATTGATAGTAATATAGGCTAAAAATGACCAGTAGTTAGTTGAAAGTAATAGGGATTTTTTTTAGAAGTTCTAGAATTTCTTTGAAAACGTTAAGGATATAATAATACCTTCCTTATAGTAATTGATTTTTTTATTCAGGTTTTTGTAGGAATAATTTCATATTTCTGAATTATTAACTGACCAAGAAGTATACAGATTACAAAAGGATTTAAAAGAATAATGGACTCCTAAATTAAGAAAAAATTGGACTGATGATGATAGATAAATTCTAATATGGATTGTATTAAAAATTTGTTCAAGAGAAGGAATAAATATAAGGAAAATAGTAAATTTTAATGTAATTTAAGCCTAATAAAATTTGGGAAGAAGTTGTTTAGTTAATTAGTCGACGTACAATTGAATAATGTAAAAATAAATGGAACGATTTATTGAAATTATCATTATAATAGATTCCTTGGAATGAGGAATAAGATATATTTTTGCTTGACTTAATAAAGTAAATTTAATTATAATTTATAAGAAAAAGTAGAGATGATGGTAAATAAAATAAATGGTGTCATATAGCTGCTTTACTTAATATATAATTTAAAGAATCACCAAGAACAGGAAAATAATGTAGAGAAAGATGGAATAATCATTTAAATCCAGATATTAATAGACATCCTTGGAATTTAGAAGAGGATATAGAATTATTAGAAATTGTTAAAAAGCATTAAAGAAAATGGGCATTTATTTCAAAAAATTTAAAGATTAAAAGAAGTGAAAATGCTGTTAAAAATAGGTTTAATTGTTTACTTAAAAAAAATCATTGCACATCTATTACAACTCTCATTAATACTTTAAAAAATAGATTTAAAACTGAAAATCCAGTAATATCTTTATCTGCAAATAAGAAATAGAAAGTGAACTTTTAATATCCTAAAGATTGGGACCAAAAAAAATAATAAATTCTAAATTAGTCTAAAAAATAAACAACATTTACTATTGGAATGTTCAATTCTTTAGATTTATATGATCTAAAAAATCTTCAACCAGCCTTTTATAATCCAAATAATGAAACTATTATACTTAGTAACAAGTAACAATTATAAACATTCCTTAATAATTAAATGATTAAAGTTGAGAATGATTTAAAAACCAATTTATTTGAAGAAATCAATATTTAGCAACCAGAGCTTTCAAATAATGGATCTGTTCTATATCAGCTAATTTTGTGAGATATGTACCTTGTGTAATACCTAATTTTGTTTCAAATTAATTAGGAAATTAAGATAAAAAGTAATTTATAATCATTAATAAGATCTTAATTCAATATTCCTGGTCTACAAAATTAGAATAATCAATAATAAGGACTTTTAAGAAACAAAAATTGTAGTTCATTCTCATATTTTTCAACTTAACAATAAAATGATAACATAGAAAAATAAATACAAAATAATAGCTCAATTGAATAGCAAGATTTAAATACTATGAATAAACAACTAGTAAATTTCACAATTAATAAATGAATGAGAACCATTTTTATATATAAGCATTAAAATAAAAACTTTAGATTTTATATAAAAATTTAACAGATATATTTAATGATTTCATTAATATTTTTAACTAATTTAAATATTTTAATATAAACTATCTAATTTTTTGATTTAGAATAGTGAAGAGAAGTTGCTTCATTAATTAAACTTCACTATCGCTTAGAATTTAATCTAAGTGGAAATTATTAAAATAAATCAAAAAAAGCTTAATTAACATAATTTTAAAATTCAATGATTGTTAATATAATAATTTTAATTATAAACACAGAATTTAAAAATTAATCATCTCATAAATTATCTTCCATCTGACTATTATTTTTTATTCCATTATCCATGTTACTTTTTATTCATAAATGATTAAACTTTTTATTTTCTTTTTGTTGAACTAGCAATTTTGATATCTAAAAATAATTATTAAATTTAAATACTTAATGATACTCTGGGAGGAAATTTAAAACCAAATGATTTTGAAACTTTAACAAGATCTAAGTTGTTAACATCATATACATCTTTAAGACTATGGGATTGATAAGACTAAAATATATTATTATAAATTAGTATATACATGTAAATATGAACGATAAGCTTCAAAAGCACTTTTATTTAGAAAGTAGTTCTTTTCAATTAATTTTTCAAACTAATCTTAAATATTTGCTAATTTTTCTGATGGGAACTCAAACTCACTCATCACCACTTTGGCCAATTTTAAATGAGCTAAATAGCCTTTTTCTTCTGGTAATAAAAAGATTAAAGCTTTTCCTGAAGAATTAAGCCCTCTACATGTTCTACCAACTCTATGAATATATTCTTTAGTATCATCAGGAGGATCATATTATATAATCCAATGGACTTCTGGAATATCTAAACCTCTTGCTGCTACATCAGTACATACAAGAACACCTTTTTTTGCATTACAAAATTCATAATATGTATTAGTTCTTTTACTTTATTTTTACTTTCCATGAATATCAAGTACAGGCATATCAACAAAGTTAAGCAATTCTGCATGAAATTTAACAGAATTACAAGAAGACATAAAAACCATAATCTTTTTATCTGAATTGAGTTATAAGAATGTGAATAACAATAAAAATTTCTTATCTGGTTCAACAATAACATATCCTTATTCTAAACCACTAACAGTTGCTTCTTAAGCAATATCATCAACTCCTATATAAATAGGTTAATTAAGAGATAATCTAGCTAAATCATCAACTTTTTTGGTTTGAGTTGCTGAAAACAATACAGTTTATCTTTCGTTTGGAAGTAATTTAAGAATTTCATTCATTTCTTCTTCATAACCAATTTTTAATAATTGATCTGCTTCATCAATAATCAAACATTATAGATTATGAAAAATGAATCCTTTAGTATTTTATAAATGATCTAATAATCTTCCAGGAGTAGCAATAAGTATATTAACACCTTTTTATAATCTAATTGCTTCTTCTTTTCTATTAGCTCCTCCTATAAGTAATCCAAGAGTTTTTTAATGATAAAATAAGAGATCTTTGGCTACATCAAATATTTATTAAGCTAATTCTCTAGTAGGAGTGAGAACAATGATACCAGTTCCATTTTTTTATTAAAATTAGTTTTTATATAATAATTCTAATGCTGGTACCAAAAAAGCCAAAGTTTTACCAGAACCAGTCTTTGCTGCTCCTAATACATCTCTACCTTTTAATAAATGTGGTATTGTTCTTGCTTAAATATGTGTCATTTTAGTAAAGTTCATCTTTTCTAATGCTTTTTTAGTAGGTTCACAAAGAGTAAAATCAATGAATTTCTTATCAGATAAAATAGCTGTATTCATATTTCTATCTTATTCTGGCTATTCTTCTAATTGATCTAAATTAGAAATTCTCACTTTTTCTTCTGATTCAGATGTTTCTTAATGTTATTGCTCATCATTTTGTACTTCAATCTTTTTAGTTTACTTTACTAATTATTTCTTCTGTATTTTCTTATTTATACTCTAAACTTTTTAAGAACCTTAGTTAATTATCATAATTATAAAATTTATGTTTTAATATTAGCTCAACCTTTAATTCTTTATTAAAGATTAGTATCAAATAAATTTTAAATAAACTTTTTACATTAATAAAATACTATTGGATCTAATGTAATATATTTCTATCAAATTAAATACTTAATCAAAAATCTAAATAACTAATATAATAATTAGATTGTTATATTAAATATAAATAATATGATAATTCTAATCTCAATTATGATAAAAATATAATATAATTGATAATTTAAGAAAATTATTAAAACATTATATTTTAGAGGTTTTTAATAATGATCAACTCAGTTAGATAAAGAGAGAATAGAAAATGTTCTTAAGTTAGTAAATCTTTAAATTTCAGTCTTCCAAAAAGATCATCATCATAAATAAAGTAATAAATATATTTTATATGACAGAATCCATCATTTACCTAGTATCTCTAATAATTCAACATTTTGTAGTAATTCAAATACAAATAGTCCTCCATAAAGTTGCTCCTAATTAGAGGATGATTGTTTTGATAGTAAATTACTTATTTAATTAGTAGTTTCAATTGTTTCTAAAAATACATCTTAAGATCCATTAAATTACTTTAATTATGATGACTTTGATTCTTTACTTCCTATTGTTATTAATGGAGTTAAAATATTAAAACTTGATTGGAATTACTTTTCAGCTTCTCCAAACATGTTATCCCCTTGGAAAGCACATTGTTTTTGGACTGTTGGATACACTTTTGATATTAATATGAGAAAAATGAAAAAGTCTTAAAATATCAAATATCGATTAATTATACAAAGTTGGTGTTGTCTCAATAATAAATCTTGGGTTAAAAATAAATGGGATCGATTGTTAGAACATGAAACTGGACATTATTTAATTGGATGTCTTTGTGCTTTAGAATTTAAATAAAAGTAAATATGTATCATAATTTTAGAGCTGATAAATTTAAATATACTAAAAATTACAGAATGGAATGTACTAAATTGTTTCAAGAAATCTTCTAATTTTATCTTCAAATGGAAAAACAATATGATGAAGAAACTAATCATAGTTAGAATGTCTCAAAACAAAAGGAGTGGAATTAATTCATCAAGTCAGAACTTTAAAAATATTGATCATTTTATAAATCTATCTCATTAATACAAAAATATAAATCAGATATTTAAACTTTTAATTTTAAGTCAATAACTGATATGATATCATTTTTATATTTCACATTATCACAAGACCTCTCTTCTATATTGATTATTATGTGTTTTAGTTGAATTTTCATAAAGGTTTTTGAAATTTAAAAATAGTTTAAAAATAACTAGAGATCATAATTAACCAGATAATACAATAATTCACTATTTTCAATTAATTCATCTTCTAATTATTATAAAAGTTCTTTTTCTTCTTTCATTTAACAATTTTAATTATTCATATTCATCAATTAAATCATTAGAATCATCATAGATTAAATATAATTTATTTAATTCTTTCTTAATTTCCAAATTCATTATTTACATTATCCTCCTTCTCTTTTCGTATCCTTAACTTTTTTTTTAAAATATGATTTAAAATTCTTGCATTTTTATTTTTTTTCAATTTCATAATTTATTTTATTTTTTTTTATTTTTATCATTCTTATTATATCTTACAATCAAGGAATATTAATGATTCTTTTTTTTATTAAAAAACTACTTTGAATAATATTATGGTTAAAAATGTTGTAATTATTCTTGTTTCTTTTTTTATAGAATGAAATTTCTATATATCTTTTTCATCCAAATTTCTTCTACTAATACAAATTTCGATAACACCAACTTATTATTGATTTTACATTTAAATCAAAGCATGTACAAACTTTTCTTAATTCTTTCTTCTATTTTTTTAAATTCTAAAGGATGTTTAATTATTAGAGGGTATTTGTAGAGATAATTTTAGAAATTTATGAAAGTTTAAATCAAGATATAATTATAATAATTCGAAAGAGAATAAATTATACTATCTTTAAAAAAAAGAACTGTTAAGTATTTTTTTAAGAAATATATTATAATATATTTTTACATAATTTTAGAATAACCTAAAAAATACTTTCATTATTTATTATAAGTATCTTTTAAAACTTTACTATTACTTTACCTGTTTTAAAGTGATTTATTTGTTTTTTAAAATAGGAACTTGGCATAATTTCAATCCTCATTTTTTTATTTTAATTACTAAAAGTGATCAAAATTAATAGAAATCAAACATTTTTTGTAAATAAAAAGAATCTAAATGGTATGAAAAATGAATAATTATTTCTTATATGTTTAATAATTGGAGAAATTTCTAGGTAATAAGGAGTTGATTTGAATAAAATATGAAAATAGGCATAAATATTAATTTCATGTGACGTGTGAAGAAATTAAGTGAGATCATATTTGGAGGAAAATGGTACAAAAGTAAAAGGTGAGTCCTTATGAATTAAATGATTGATTAATTATTTAAGTTGGCTTGAATTAGAAATTCAGTGTAAAATTATCCAGAAAAATAGTTTATTTGGCATCGTAATAAATTTAGAATAAATAAATATTCAATAGATTAATTGAATACGTATTATTTATCAAATTTCAAGATTGATGATAAGAAGATGTAATATTAAAGTGATTAATTTATTGTTCAAAAGAACTAGAGTGGATTATTGGTAGAATTGAAAGGTTGAAGAAGTTTAAGTTTATTTCAGTATATGTTATTATAAAAATAAAATGAAAAAGGATTTTGAGTATATATAAGTGATGATTAAAGATATCTTAAATTTGGTTATTAAATTTATGTTATTTAATTTGAATATTTGTGGATCACTTAAGGTCTATTTATGTATAATTTATTCTCATTAAATAATTTATTTTATTTTCATAGAATCCATAATGAATTTCGAAGAATAAATGAATCTATTGAATGGAAATTGCATGTGGTAAAGTTCCTTTCTGTTCAATATGCTATTATAACAATAATAAATTTAATACAGTACAATTTATCAATAGTCTATTAGTGATTTCTTAAGGGTATTGTGTTCAGAGAATGGATTTAAGGGAAGAAAACACCAAAACTTAGGATGATTCAAATAATGATGGGAAATTATAGAAGCAGGACTAGCTCACAAAAAATTCAAAATAACCTCTAATAGGAACAGACATAGATTAAGGAAAAGTTCATTTAGAAGATGAGGATAGTTCAAGTAGAGTAAATGGTATAAATTTATTTGATAATTTCATAGGTCATTGGAGTAAGTCTGAGCATCAATTGTATCTTCATTTTGTTAATGAACATCAAGATATTTTGAGGTCTAAATATGATAAGAAATCAAAAAAAATCTTTAAAATGATGAGCCAATACATTATTACAAGAACAGCCACTTAATGTAGATCACATCATTAAAAGTTTAATCCACTTTAAAAAAGTAAGAGAAAAGGAAAAGGCTTTGTACGACCCATCCCATCTGTTATTATTTAAGAAAATTGATTTATAGCTGTTAACTATCATTTAAGAATTTTTTCATGTATTTTTAAATAACTTAATTCCTAATCAGGAGTCTTTAGATATAATGAATCTATAATCAAAACTTCAATTTACAAAACCAAAAATAACCAAGAATAATTGTTTTTATTAAAAAATAAGGTCTCTTTCACTTAATCTTCTGTTNATTATTTATCAAATTTCAAGATTGATGATAAGAAGATGTAATATTAAAGTGATTAATTTATTGTTCAAAAGAACTAGAGTGGATTATTGGTAGAATTGAAAGGTTGAAGAAGTTTAAGTTTATTTCAGTATATGTTATTATAAAAATAAAATGAAAAAGGATTTTGAGTATATATAAGTGATGATTAAAGATATCTTAAATTTGGTTATTAAATTTATGTTATTTAATTTGAATATTTGTGGATCACTTAAGGTCTATTTATGTATAATTTATTCTCATTAAATAATTTATTTTATTTTCATAGAATCCATAATGAATTTCGAAGAATAAATGAATCTATTGAATGGAAATTGCATGTGGTAAAGTTCCTTTCTGTTCAATATGCTATTATAACAATAATAAATTTAATACAGTACAATTTATCAATAGTCTATTAGTGATTTCTTAAGGGTATTGTGTTCAGAGAATGGATTTAAGGGAAGAAAACACCAAAACTTAGGATGATTCAAATAATGATGGGAAATTATAGAAGCAGGACTAGCTCACAAAAAATTCAAAATAACCTCTAATAGGAACAGACATAGATTAAGGAAAAGTTCATTTAGAAGATGAGGATAGTTCAAGTAGAGTAAATGGTATAAATTTATTTGATAATTTCATAGGTCATTGGAGTAAGTCTGAGCATCAATTGTATCTTCATTTTGTTAATGAACATCAAGATATTTTGAGGTCTAAATATGATAAGAAATCAAAAAAAATCTTTAAAATGATGAGCCAATACATTATTACAAGAACAGCCACTTAATGTAGATCACATCATTAAAAGTTTAATCCACTTTAAAAAAGTAAGAGAAAAGGAAAAGGCTTTGTACGACCCATCCCATCTGTTATTATTTAAGAAAATTGATTTATAGCTGTTAACTATCATTTAAGAATTTTTTCATGTATTTTTAAATAACTTAATTCCTAATCAGGAGTCTTTAGATATAATGAATCTATAATCAAAACTTCAATTTACAAAACCAAAAATAACCAAGAATAATTGTTTTTATTAAAAAATAAGGTCTCTTTCACTTAATCTTCTGTTAATTCATATACTTAATTTATTTTTTTTAAATCACTATTTATTAAATTAACTGATTATAATATTTTTTATTTATTTATTTAATGCAAACAACTAATAAATTACCTCCTAGAACTCAGACTAACCAAATTATAAATGGCAATAGAAATGTATTGGTATTTTAGGATCAAAAACCAAAAGATTTAAGAAGATACACAACTGATGCAGAAGAAATGAAAAAATATAAATAGAGTTATGGTTCATAAAAAAGAAATGACTCAAAGTATAAATATGAATAGAATTTAGTGATATTTAAAAATAAAATTAAGATTAGTGTAAATATAATACAAATGGTAAATAAATTGCAGAGAATGGAAGATAATAACATGTTTCAAGTTTATCTGATAGTCAATCATAATAACTTCCTTTAGTAATGATAAAATGTTAAGCAAAACCATAATTTGAAAATTTTAAGAATCATGTAAATGCAAAAAATCATAATTTCATCACTTAACAACAAAGAAATGAAAAACCTCATTCATTTAAATAAATTGCATAGACAAATAATAAACAAATATCTAATTGTAATATGATTATTAAAATTTTTAAGTGTATTATGTAGGAGATTTGTAAAATGCAATTTTGAATTAGAATTCAAGAAATTCGGATATATTTCGAGAACATATAGTTGTTTCTTTTACATATATTCCAATAATATAGAAATCAGTTATTGATGTTAAATAGATATAAGAGAAAAAATTGAAAATTCCAATAAGAAAGAATAAGAAATGTAATAAAATTAGAAATTAATGAAAATAGATAATAAAACAATAATATTTGATATGGATGAGACATTGATGCATTGTAATGAAGACGAAAATGATAAATGCTAATTTAAAATTCCAATAGAATTTGAAGATGGAGAAAGAATAATAGCAGGCATCAATATTAGAAATTTTGCTAAAGAGATAATTTAAAAGCTTAGTGAGGTATGTGAAGTAATGATTTTTACTGCTTCTTATGATATTTATGCTAACCAAGTAAAAATTGATTAAACTATTTGAGGTTATAAATATTTTAGATCCACATAATAATTTGTGTTGTCGAATTTTTAGAGATAATTGCATTTCAGTAGATGATAACCATTTGATAAAACATCTTGGAGTATTGAATAGAGATTTAAAGAATGTTGCCATAATTGACAATTCTTCTTGCAGTTTTGCGTAATCATTAAATTCAACAATAAGTTAGACATCATTTAGAGAATGGGATTCCGATTGTTTCATTCTATAATGATGAAAAAGATAATCAATTGATTAAATTGTATCGATACTTGTGTTAATACATTCTTCCTGCTGAAGATGTAAGACCTATCATTTTATCCCATTTTAAATAAGATAAATTAAACTAATATGAGACAGTTGAGGAAGCAGTAAAATAATTGTATTTTTGAGATATTTGAGTCTTATTTGTTTCTGTAATTTTTGTTAAAAACATATTTTAAATGTGAAAGTCCTTTAATTTAATACATATTTCAGATTAATGTTACTTGAAAGTGATCAATAATAAGATAGTTCAAACATCAATAATCAATAACTATATAAATCTACATATGTACTATGTCTTATAGATATAATTTCAGTCAATTAGGAATAGACGAAAAATTTATGATGACAATGATTTTAAGGAGGTTGTCAAAAATTTTTATATTCTGATCTCAGAAATGAATAAAAGTATTTAAACATCTTAATTCATTATTAGTTAGGAAGATTTCTAAAATTCACATGAGAAAATAATAACCAAAATAAACTAAATAGAGAAATGCAATCACAACTAAGTAACAAATTAAAGAACCTCAGATTATTAAAAGAGATATCAATATTAGACCTGGATTATTGCAAGCTTAACAATTCTTTAACTCTTGTTTCAGTTAATAAATAGTTAGTCAATTAATACCAAATTTAAATCAAACCAAACATGATCCAGTTTTCTGTGAAGAAAACAAACAACATCTAGATTTCTAACGCAATCAGTTTCACATAAAAATTGCCTATTAAATATATATCAAGAAATTTGGTCCCTCCCTTGTTGAAAATTAGGATCCAACATCTATTGCCAAAAAAGTCATGAATACAAATTTCAATCCTAAAGTAATTATACTTTTAAGAACCAGTCACAAATCCCAGATGATGATAAAGATAATGATATTTCTGATTTCCACATTAAACCTAATGAAGATGCCAAATAGAAACACTTGAAAGATCTTGTTCGAGAATTTTAGAGTGATTAATGATTTTCAAAACATTATAAGAAGTAAGTATATAAAATATATCCATCAAATATCACAAATTATTTACCAAACCTCATTAATTTTTTAGTATTCTTAATTTCAACTCCATACTTGTAGATTAAATTTCCTTATTTGGTTTAGAATTAATTATCATATTTCTTGTGTTTTATTATTCTAATATTTTATTCCTCAAAATATCATAATTTATAGGCTTTCTTTCAGATGAATGATCTTATGCTTTATATTATTAAGTTTATTGCTAACCTTTTGAAATTACATAACGTTTTTAATATTTTTCCTAAGATACATTATTGTTTGATTATCCAATTTACTATTATTTTGGAATAGGAGATATACTTAATTTTTACATTTAATTTCTTTTATCTCTTATTGAGATTTCACTATTTGGCACTATAGTTTTAGATATCTTCTATTTCTCGTAAACTATTCCAATAATGGACTCTAAAGGATCAACAAAATCATTAATTGATTTTCTGATATCCAAATAATTTAATGAAAAAAATTGTAAACAAGGTGACTATTCCTTAGCCATTTGATAAGTATAATACCAACATAATGAGTTTTCTTAGTATTATGCATTTTGTAATTTGAATATAGTATCATGTGTTACAAATTTTGAAATCTTTTCTGGAATACCATTTAATGTGATTTTAGAATTGATTGGTATTAAGTCTGATAATTTCATAAAGCTTTCACAATTCTCTTCATTTTATAATATGCAACACAAAAATAAACATGAAATCTTTCGAAGCATGATATTCTTTTTATCATTCAAATTTTTCTAAATTTTATTTAAATCTTCATGATTAAAAGATTCAAACATTTTTCTTTTAAAACTTGGATTAGAGTTCATGTATTCCATTAATCGCAACATAGATTCAATTAGAGATTCAATATCAGAATCAGAATTTTTTTTTAAATTTATCATATTAAATTAAATTATACTTCTTTCATTGTAATTAGAAATGCATAAACTTAGGTAATTTTTGAATATGCTTTTCTACTCTATCTCTGTTTTTGGAGTCAACCTTTTTGTTGATTTGATTGATTATTGTAATTTTGAGTTAGTCATAGAGCTAACGATTTTTTTCAATAACTCTAAGAAAGTTTATTAATTCAATAGGGTCACAATCATCTATAATCTTTTTGATTAAATTTACAGATAATGTAATATCTGAACTTTTATCTTTTTTAGAAGCCAAATATAGAATGTTGGCCAAACCTTAAGCACTTGACATATCATTATTAACTGCTTAAAGACTTAATTAAACTAATTTTCCAAGATTAGATAAATATTTGTCAATTTATAATAAAATAGCAGCTAATTCCTTAACATTATAAGCTATATCATAATATTGATAATCTAGAATGAAATTAGAGATAAGTTATTAGAATTATTAATATGTTGCTAATTTCATTAGGCCTGGGATATCAATAAGTTTTTTTTATAAATATTCTGAAATCAAAGAATCTAACTATAGGAGATTTTTATTATTGATAGATACCAAATTCACAATATTTTGAGGATGAATAATGTGTTGATTATTAGATATAAATTCACTTAAGTTAATTTAATAATTTCGAAATAGATTGACACTAAATTCCCCAATTTATTTAGGAGTCATCATTTAAAGAATTTTAAACAATTATCCTTACTAAAATTCCTCTTCTATACGAGTAGTTTCAATAAGTTTGAAATATGTTCCACATAAATAAAATAATGAAAGGTTTTCATGATTAATAGTCATTTTTTTTAAGACGAAGAAGAGTCTCTAAGCTAGGAGTTAATCTTTGGATTGAGAAACTCCTATGAGTAATTACATTAAATCTTTTAATTCAACTTTATCATTAAGGATAATAAGGTCGGCTATTTTTCTTAGTAATTCTTATTTGTTTCTAAGTAAACTTAAATTTTAATAGAGAGTAATAAGTGATAACTGATTAGATTGATTGGATTATAAGTCCATCTTTTCTACTGATTAGGCAACTTGTTTTAAATAATTAATGCCTACATCAGCATAAATTCGACTTAATAGTGCTAGATTTTTAAGATTATAATCATGTAATCCATATTTAGATAGTTAAATGTAATTTTAAACCCAATTGCATTGAAGCATTTATTTTAATAGTTTTTTGTTGTGTAAAAAGTGTAATATAGTAGTGGATTCTTTATAATCTAGTTCTTGTGTAGTGATAATTTTATTGAGTACAGAATGTGGTAATGTATCAATAGCAGAATTTGGCATAGTAAGGAGTGTATTGAGATCACATGAAGAGTTCAATTAAAGACATTGAAGTAAAAAAGGTTTTGTAGGAAATCTCTTCTAAACAACTTTATTTAAGTAATTTTAGTAAGAATCAAGGGGATCTTGAGTGATAGATTGAGCATATTTGACGAATTAGACTAATGAATAGGAATCTTATTTGAACATGGTAATAATTTTATTCTGATTTTCATTAAGAGATTGGTGGATAAGGGTTTTGTCAAATTGTTTTTGGTTTTGAAGCACCTACTTTAAAAACAAGATAGCTGAAGAGCAATCAGTTAAAGGTAAGGTATTCTAAGATATGGTGAATTTAGCAGCTAATTTCATATTAAAATATATAGTTGTGGAAAACAAATAAATTAAAATCATATTTATTCGATATCTTATTGTTATCTATTACTTTATAAAATATAAAAATTAGACTTGATTATAAATCACTTTTTTTGTTTGATTTTATAGTTTTTATGGAAATTAAAAATAGAAAAGAAATTATCTAAAATATATTTGCAATTTTTATTAATTATAATGATAAATTTGAGTTTCTATAAATCGAAACTGAAATTATATTACATTTGAATCATAAATTCTATATAATAGAAATTAGTTAGACAAAAGTTATTCTTAAATCATAATTATTAGAAATTGTTATCAATTTATTCATTTTTTTGATTAGCGAATGACATTTTTATTTAATTAATTTTAAATTATCATAATTTAAGTCAGCTAATGTTTAATCTTCTTTATTTATTTAATCAGTTCTATCTTATATATTAATTGAGTCTTTATAAAATTTGAATTGATATGAAGATTTGTAGATAGAGAATCTAATTTAATATAGAGTAGGAGTACTATATTTGAGAGAGATGCTAATTACAATTTGATCTATTCAGATTTAAATATTAATTATATAATAAAATAAGGAGAAATGAATCGTAATGTTATAGCAATAATATTTTGAATAGAATACAAGCTGGTTGGAAAGAAAGGAGAAGGAACATTTTCAGAAGTGATAAAATCATAATCATTCAAAACAGGAAATTATGTTGCAATAAAATGTATGAAAAATAAATTTACATCAATTGAACAAGTAAATGATACTGAATATATATAGGTTAATCATTTACGAGAGATATAAGCTTTAAGAAAGCTAAGTCCTCATGATCACATTATCAAGTTGATTGAAGTTCTTTAGTATGAAAATAATATAAAATTAATTTAGCGATGAACCAACAGGACGATTAGCATTAGTGTTTGAATTGATGGAATAGAATTTATATGAACACATTAAAGGTATTATTATTAACATTTTAAATAGGAAGAAGATAACCTTTAAATCCTTAAAAAGTTAAATCTTTTATGTACTAACTGCTAAAATCTATTGAACATATGCATAGAAATGGAATCTTTCATAGAGACATTAAACCGTAATCAATATTCAAATTATTAGTGAAAACATTCTACTAAACTCTGATCATCTTAAACTGGCTGATTTTGGATCATGTAAAGGAATATATTCAAAACATCCTTACACTGAGTATTATAATACATTATTATAGATATATATCTACAAGATGGTATAGAGCACCTGAATGTTTATTAACAGATGGTTATTATGATCATAAAATGGATCTCTGGGGAGTTGGATGTGTAATGTTTGAAATTATTGCTCTATTTCCACTATTTCCAGGAACTAATGAATTAGATTAAGTCAATAAAATACATAACATTCTAGGAACACCTAATCAGAAGGTTTTTGATCGATTTAGAAAGTTATACTTATATAATATTATAGATAAGCTACTCATATGGAAATCAATTTCCCACCTAAACATGGTAGTGGTATTGATAGATTACTACAAGGATAAAGTAAAGAATGCATTGATTTAATTAAATTATTACTTATTTATGATCCTGAAGAAAGAATCAATGCTTAATAAGCCTTAAAACATGAATACTTTCGTGAATTATTAGAAGCTGATACTCAAAAAAGCTTTTAACATACCTTATAATAAATTAGAATTTCTAATCATAGAGAATAGTATATCTAATATAAATATATTTTTAGAAATGATAACTCTCTTGAAAGAAGTCAAAGAATTGAAGAAAGTAAATAATAATAACATTAGTTGAATTTCAAAAAAACTTAAAATTATTATGCTAAATCCCAAAAAAAATCAGGAGTATATTTAAATATTTATATCATTTTAGTTACCATCCTTATAATTTGATTTAAGAGTAGAAAGCATTTATAAAAATACTTAACATCATGATAGTGATGATGATCTAGAAAAATAATCATCTAATAAATAAATGATGTTACCCTAAATACCTAAATCTAAAAAATATGATCCTAAAAAAATATATGGCAAACAACAATATGGATCATCATCAAATTAACCATATTAGTTCAATTCTAAAGGTAATAATATTTTTATTAATTAAATAGGTAAAAAAGCCACCCATGGTTTGCAAGGTGAATATATAGTTTTTGGAAAGAAAGCAATGAATTAATGATATATTTTAAGTTTTTAGTTGACTAATCAAAAACATTCTGTAATTTTGAATTTTCTATTAAAATAAAATTAATTAATTTAAAAAAAATTAACATCAACTTAAATTCATATGTTAATTGATTCTTTTTTCATAAATTTCTTTGTAAATATAATAAAATAATATTATTTTATTTCTATGAACACAAATTTTTGAATTAATCATTAATTCTTTTGCTCATCCTCTACTTCATAGATTGCTTAATGTTAGTGATAATTTTTATGATTAAACTTTCTTTTTAATATTTAATTCTATACAAGTCTAGGACTATTATTTATTATTAATGTTGGATGTTATCTAGCAGAATCTGGTGAATTAGTATCAGGTGATTATTAATCGAATTCTTAAGTTGAAAATTTTTTAAATGCACTCTTCTTAGGATTTTCTGTAGGTGAACCATCATTTAATGCTAAATTTTTACGCTTAGCATGTTATGCCAATCTTGGACTATTCATTATAGGAACTTTTATTTTAATTTTTTCATCTTCAACTTCATCTTCATCTTTTTATCTTGATTTCTATTTTATTTCAGGTAATTATAATTTATCTGATTTTTCCATTCTAAATGTTGAAGTTTACCATAATTTACCCTATAATTATACTTTTTTTTAGGATTAGAATTTCAATTTTCTATCAGTAAAACCACCCGAAAAAAATGGATGATCTAAAGCCTATTAAGCCGAGATTCTTTATTTTGGATCAATCTATAACATCATTTAAATAAGTTCCATCGCTGCTTAAGGTGTTCTATATATGCTTAGATTATCTAAATTTATTATGCATTTTTTATTCAACTTCAATATTTCATGATAATCATTTCCCGGAAACAAATCCTTTTAAGTTATTCTAATTAATTTAAACATTAATTATATACAATTTATAGAATATGCATCCTACACTGAATATATCACAAATCTTATCATATTTAAAACTCAAATCTTTAAGATTTGCTATTTCAGGTGCTACATATCCTGGTGTACCACATTTAGGAAATGGGTAACTAGTTACATGAGTAGATGTTGCTAATCCAAAATCAACTATTCTCAATCCAGTTATTTGATTAACTTCTTTAAACATGATATTTTCAGGTTTTAAATCTCTATGCATAATTTCTAATTAATGCATTCTTGAAACTCCTGTCAATATTTACTAGAAATCTAAAAATTACAAAAATACCCAAAGGATAGATTTAATCTAATCCCAACTTAATTATCCTATTTATCCTCTACTTATAAGATCATGTAATGAATTGCCTTTCAAATGTTCTAGAATTAGATAAAATGTATTTTCTCCCTCATAGACTTCTTCCAATTTTACAACAGAGTCATGATCTAATGTGGCCATTAAATTTATCTCATTAAATAAGGCTTACTAACAATAAAATACAATATTATACAAATCCTCCATCTTCTTTTAAATATCTCTTTTCAACACATTTTGATGCAAAATCTTACTTATTATCCTTATCCACTACTAGATACACCTTATATATAAAGAAATGTTTACTTTCGAAGATCCACCCTTACCTAATAATTTCAATGGTTAATAGAAATCACTCACATCTTTAAACATGACTCTATTTCTTAAATGAGATTTCAATTTCCTAAGTTCTTCATCTTTACCAACAAAATATTTGACTGACCCTTTGTATTCAAACCCAAATTATGATAGTTATCTGTCCTTTTCAATACTCCAAAAAATCTTAGTTTCTAAATTCAATTATAGATAGTATTTAGGTTATTAAGACTCAAGTTCCTTTTAAATGAACATTTATTTATACATTTGTAAGAATCATTGTGTCATCGATTATATATAAAAAATAAGTGATATCTTTTAGTAAATGTTTTCTCTGGCATATTGTATGAAAACTGGCTGTGTCGTAATTTATTTCTTATTTGCTTTGCATCCAAATTATAAATATTAGTTAAAAATATTTTTTAAAATACCCTGTTTAATGTAATGAGCATAAATAATTAATCAGAATACTTGATCAAACTTATTTTAATTATTAATTATCTACAACGACAAAACTAAGATCAGAAAAATATTAACTGAATTTGAGTATACGTTCATACATATTATTAAAATAAAATTATTAGATATTTCAGAATTCTTCATCAGATATTACCTCATTAGTATTAAAATACGATTTTTATATTTAAGTTTGTATTACACCAATTTTAATGTTCATATCCTTTATATCATTCTATCATAATTTTTAAAAACAATACTCTCAATTGATTGATTAATTATTTTTGTTTAGATCTATTATCAATCAAAACAGGTGTTCTTTCTTTTATATCCAATAATTATTGATTTAATTATTGATCAATTTCTAATTTTTCGGTATTCCCTTTATTCAATTGAGATATTTGCAATTATAAATTTGATATGGTATCTCTGTTTTACTTAAGAGTGATTTAAATATCTTCTGGTATTTATTCAGTGACTTTTGTTTCTAATTTGGGTAATAATTCTAAATAATCAATCCATTATTATTAAATTTATTAAACTTCATTGGACTTCAAATGTTCAGACAAGAGTGACAATTGCTAAAAAATATAGATGAGAATTACTTTGGAACATTTAGAGATGGTGATAAGGGTTCTCTAATAGTCTTTTAAATAATTTTTATTAACTTTAAGATTAGCTTCAAATTTAGAAAATTCTTTTTCTACTCTATTAAACTCTTTTGTCCATTCATTGATAGCAACTTTGGTTTCAATAACTTATCGATCTTGAGGTACTTAATTATAATCAGTTTGTTCATTATTATATTTCTTATGATAAAATAGAATACTCTAAGTTAATTCATCCTATTCAACTTCTTCATTTTCATTATTTTCTTCTTAGATTTCAAGAAGATCTTCATCATCTATTTTATTGACTTAAATAACAGAGTTTTCCATATCTTTACCAAAATCAGGAGAATCAAATTTAAAATTGACTCTAATTAATTCTCTATTGAGTAAATCATTTAAAATGAAACAAACCATATCTCCACATCCTTATGAAATATGAGGAGATCCCAATTATTCTGGTAATTTAATACCCCAAGCTTTGATATCGATTAATAATTTTCTGGCAGTTTCTTCAACATTATGATAATTAAGTTTAATAGGTTATGCCATTTTATTTTTTTTTTATTTGGGTAAGCTCATAAGCCAATAACAGAGTTCAACAAAATAATAAAATCTTTGATTTTGATTGACATTTTCTTCTAAAGAAAAATAATATTTGGAAATAGGTTTTTTTTTGAGAGGAATACAGAAATTTTCATGATATTAGACTAGTGATAATTTTTCATAAATGTCCTATATAATATAAGATATTTAATAACCTCCATCATCAAGACATTAATAATTTGAGGAGTTTTTTTGGTATCAATAAAATTAGAATGAGCATCTTTGGCTTTTTATAGGACAGTAGTTGCATCAAGTCTTTTTTGTGGATCAACTACAATCATACCTTCTATGACATCTCTCAATTATTAACTATATCTATTAGAGACAGGTTTGAATTCTCCTTTTGTGATATTATTAAATAAATCCATGAGAGACATTTTTTCACTTTGTTTAAATGGACTCTTAAACTCAGCCATCTCATAAGCAATACAGCCTAATGACCAGATATCTGATTTCATATCATACCCTTCACCATGAAGGAGCTCTTCCTTTTTAATGATAATTTACCTCAGGTGACATATACAATGGTGTTCCAACTTTTGAATATGCTTCTATAGTTTCTGATGAAAATATACGACCTAGACCAAGATCTCCTACTTTTAATGTCCCATCTCCACCTATAAATATATTTGCTGGTTTCAAATCTCTATGCATTATTCTCTTATCATGCATGTGGTCTAATGCACTTGCTATCTGCATTATATAATTCCATAATTGCACTTCTTCAAATGGTGTATCATCAGATTATGCATTCTTTATTAGTTTTTTCAAATCTCCTTTCTCAGCCCACTCTGTTGCTATTATCAATTCATTATTGTAAATGAAGGAGTCCAAGTATTTTATTATATTTGCATGATCTAAAGGTTGCATCAATTTCACCTCTTTTAAACACTTCTCTCTTTATTTTGGATCCATCATATCAAATATCTAATATAAATTCACTTATCACTTTTATCTTTTTTAATGCTATAACATTCCCTTCCTTATTAATTGCCTTATAAACTGTTGAAAATTTCCCTTCTCCTATTGCTTTCTATACTTTGTATCCATTTATTTCTTGATCAATAAATTGAGACATTAATTAATTATGTTAAATACTAAACTAACTAAATTCATTGATTCAAAAGCAGATCAAGTCAACTCATCTATTAAATCTGCATAGACATCTTTACAAAATTAGACATCCTAATTAACTAACCAAATTACAGATGCTAATCAAACCATGAAAGTTGCTGCTCCCTTACTCAAAGCAATGGGTATTAATCTAATCCTAACTATATAAAGGACATTCTGAGGCTACTCAAATCGCTAAAGGATTAGATATTGCTTAAAAGAACCTTGTACCTATTCTTGATTAAACAAATAAAGCAATATAAAAAGGTACTGACATGGCTAACTCCTAAATTTAAAAAGCATCCAACATAGCCACTTAATAAATTCAAAAAGTCAATGTAAATTTTATTCTATATCTCTAAGGATGTTGTTGGTTCATAACTAGAATAAGGATAGCATATAATTAAATAATAATATGAAAAAGGTATAGAGGCTATCAAAGAAAATTAAAATTTCTAATCTATTGCAATTAAAGCAGCTGTTGTAGGAATGGCAATTAATTAAATTGTAGAAACCCCAACTGATGATGGATAACTCACATCAAGTTAGAAAAATACTTAATAGCAACAATAATAATAATAATAATAACAATAATAATAATAATAATAATAATAATAATAATAATAATAATAATAATAATAATAATAATAATAATAATAATAATAATAATAATCATAAATATAAACATAAACATAATCATAAAATAGAAATATCCTACCTACTTAAAGTAATATTGTTGCTGATTTTAATAAATAATAATAAAAATAAGAATCTAATTTCTTTCAAAATAAAATTAAATAATATATCAAAAAAATTACAGGGAAATAAGTCAATTCCAGAATCGAATATTTATGTCTTATCTAATAAAAAATAAAAGATAATATCGATATCAATTATTTATAATAATCCAAATAATCTTTAAAAAATGAAATGTGGAAAGCAGCTTATTAGGAGAGAAGAATCTAAAGTCATTAGATTTTTGTATAATATATGACTACGATGGTAGAATTTATTTTTGAATATTTAACAATAGTTGAAACAGTCTTTTAGTAGATTAAAATGAGATATAAATCATCAAATAATTCATTTGAAATGATTCTCAATTATTGCAATAATTTATCAATACAACTCGATTATTTTACAACGTATTGTTATGTTCAACCAAACTAAAAAATATTGAGTAGGTTATTTACAAATTAGACAAAATAATAAATAAAATAAAACTCAAAAAATAATAAAATGAAAAAATCTAATAGATCAAGTAACTTAAATACAAATGCAGATAATTAATAATTAGAATTGAGAGAAGAAAAAGCAGAAGTATAATTTTACCATTAATAACTATGCTAAAATTTTAGCAATCTTGAGAATGAATATTAATAGCACACTTCTAATATCTAAATATTAAAGAATAATTTGAAAGGAGAAATTAAAGATAAAATAACTATTTGTTAATAAATGAATTAATAGAAGATGTCTGATTATTTGATGCAAGTTTAAGGATAACGAAACATCACATTTGAAGCTGTCGAGTAATTTTATAAGAGTTTCATGTAATATGAATAAATCTATAGTTAAAATGTAGAAAGTTGTTTTGAGGGAGTTCAATAAGTGAAGGATACCTATGATGAAGAATTTAGAATGTATTGTAAATTATGAATTAAATTTAGATTACTTTAAATCATTAATAAAATAATAGTAATAGTTTGGATTATTCACTACATATATCTTAAAAGAGATATCAGAATTTGAATATATAAGAATAGAATTTTTGTAGAAATTATTTTCATAGTTGACAGCAGAGTTAGGAAAATATTTTTAATTTGCGAATTAAAAAACAATTGATTTTACAAATTAAGAGATATTATAATAAGCAAAAGTGGCTTTTAACATAAATTAATTATTGACACCAGAATAATTAGTAATAATTAAGAAATACTCAGGCATTCCATTATAGAATGAGATTTCACCAGATATTTATTCTGCATTTGCTTCAAATTTTACAAGTAAATATAATCTTAATAATATTAATTATAGTACCTTCTCCTGAAACTCTATTGTAATAGTCTCCTTTGATTTTGAAGAGATATAATGTTTAACGGGATGTTGCTTGGGAAAGATCATTAAGTTTTGGCAAAGATTTTGTACCAAGCACTTTTATAATAACTGTTGATGGGTTTTTATTATTTTATGATACAGATTGGAAGGAACAAAATACTGAAGAACCAATATAGTGTCATAATTTTATGGTTATTAATGAGGTATTAAATATTATATAATTTAATAGTTAACAATTAAGGAAAGCTAAAGTGACGAGAGTGTTGTAGAGTTAAGTGTAAGAAAGTAAGGGAAACTATTTGATACACATAAGAAATAAATTTTAAAGATGAATGATGTAATGGAGAAGGAATCCTTAAAATTATTACTAAATTAGTTTAAATGATTTATTATAAAAATAATTGTTACTTAAAATAAAAATTGCATAAATAGACTATCATTATCCTGATAAAATATACTAAGCATTAGTTGGTTAGTTAATGTATTAATTATATTAAATCTATTAGGATTGTTCCAGTTTAGAGTTTTAATTAAAATAATTATTATAACCAGATAAATTATCTTGACTGAAAGCCATTTAGGAAGCATTCTATTTTCTTTCAAATTATTAGAGTAAATCTTATTATTGATATTGAGAAGGTTGTTCATTAGGACTTTAGTAATTTTTAGATCTTATTTAAACAGGAGTTGAAGCCTTAATACTCTGATCAATAGAGTTTGAATTAAATTGTTAAGCTTATTATATTTGGGCAGGTTTAAAACTCATAAGTAAAGCTTTATTTTATGTAGGTTAAACTTTAGGAGGTAGTTCAAATATTTTTTAATTTTAATTTTAGGATGGTTCATTTTAATATTGCATATTCGAATTAAATTCTTATTTATCAAAAAATTTTTAATCTTTTTAAGTAGTATTTAATTTAATTTTATGTTCTTCTGGTTTGAAAATGAAATCATCACCATCAATAGTTTAATCTTTTCCTAACAATTAATCCAATTATTGATCATGATTTAAAACATATTCTTAAAATCCATCTCTTGGTTATTACATTTCTTTAATTAATTCTCTACTTGGGAATATAGCATCACTAAATTCATCTTTTTACATTATAGTATCTTCATTTCTATTAAATCTTTTAAGAAACATATTATATTCTTATTGTGTAAGTGATTGAATTTCAAATTTATTTAATAATTAATCTAAACAACGTTTATCTATAATAGGTAAATTGCCAGCCACATATTTAAAAACAGTTGTAAACTTCCATTCAACTAATTAAGCTAAATTCATTTTCTCTATTTCTATTGTTCTTAAATAATCAATCTCCTTATATATAAGTTTAGCAACGAACTCTTCTAAATAAAATGACAGTTTATCTATAAATTATTTAATTGTTATCAATACATTTCCCAGTTTCTGAATATAGCTTTCTGACAATACACTACATTGCTGCATCTCTATCATATCTAGGAACTATAAATTCAAGAAATAATTGATATCGTAATTTATCATCTCCTTTACTCCATGTGAAGATCCAGAAATCACAAAACTTTTAATGAACACTACATCCATTCTTACACATAAAGCGAAAGATGTCTTAAGAAGTTATGTATCCTTTCATGTTTGAATCAATTGCTCTAAATGCATCACTAATATCAAATCGTATATTTTCAGCTAATGTTAATTTCAATTCCTCAACCTATTATATACCATTATTAATACTTCTCTTTCTGTTATCAAAATTGTTCGAATTATTGTTATAAGCTTTTCACCTATTTTTCGTTATTGCTCATTTTCTGTGACTGTTGGGCTTAACATTTATTTTAATATTAGTTAATTAATATATATAAATTCTTCTCATCAATCAAATGCATTTACGTTATTCATCTCAATATATATTAGCTTCATTATTTTATTAATCAAATTTACAATCATCTCTGCTCAATTAATAATTTTTCATTTTATAAAACAAATGGATTAATTGAACAACAATTTAAACAAATTCTACACTTTAATTCATAAATTAAAAAAAGTTTTCACAAGTACTACCAAAGATACAAATGATCCATCAAATACTTCTATTGAAACATAAATATGAGTATATTTTTATTTATTTTAGAAATTATATCAAGCAACTTAAAAATAAGACCTATATTATGAAAGAAGATTGATAATAATTTATTTAAATTCATATTACAATATTTAAACATACTATAAATTCATTAAATATCCTTAATTTCATTTATCCATTTACTGAATTAAAACAAAATAATCATCATAAATTGATGTAAACAATAATAAATACTTTATTACTCATGTAATCAATTATAAGATTGCTTAATATAAGCTTTATTCATAATATTTACTTGTTCTATTAAACTTCGATTTATTTTCTTCAATTTTATTATTTTAAATATTTGGATCAGATTTCAACAACTATTTTTCTTAACATAAATATTTTAGAATATAACTTTTTTTCTATCAATTTTTATTTACTCATTCAAATCATTGCTTTTTTAAGTTTGATATTATTCAATTTGTATCTAGTTTTTTTTTTCTAACAGTATCTTTTGATTATATTAAACTATAATCTTAAGTTTATACTTATAGACTACCTCTCTTTAGTAAAAATAATCAATTAACTATATTACCCAATTCAAAATGAGAAATAATTATTATACTCTAAAATTTTTATTGCTTCTATCAATTTAAAAATTACTTAATTTTCATCAATTTTCATTCGACTTTAATCGTTCCATTTAATATGTTATTGAATTCTCTTTAATAAACTTTAATTTTTATGATAATTACAAGTAAGATTAGTCATTATTATTTATAATAAACTATTCACAATATTAATTTATTTCAAACTCAAAAGAATAATCAATAGAATTTCTATATATCTAAGATTCTATTTTAATTTAATTACTAATTCAAATAAATCTATTGAATGATTTAATTCAAATTTGTACTTCAATAGGTTTGAATCTTAGAGTTCACAATTCTTCACCAGTAAGAATAATGAGCTATAGATTTTTTTAAATAGGCATCTTCCTTTCATTAATTTAAGATGATATAAAAAGTTTAGTTTTGTTTATTAGCGTGAATTTTATTTCAATTAGAGTTTAAATAGCTGTAGATAAGGGTTTTTATATTGTCATTTTTAACTGTCTCATAGCTGTAGTGTTTTTCTTAAATTAATTCAATATTGATCATTAAATTTTTTAAAATTATGATGATTGATTAGAATATTTTCAAAATCTTTTCTTTCAAATAGATATTGATTTTCTTTTATGAATTAATCTTCTACATAACCTTTTCATTTTTATTAAAGCTTTGATTGAAACAATAAATTTATTTAAAAATACATGGTTTAGTATCTTATATAATTCTGGTATAATCATTCCAATCACAATACTAAATCAAATGTAATTGCTATTTTTTTCCTTTGAGAAATTTAATTATATAAAAATTAACATTAATTTTATTAAATCTATTATTGAATTTTTATTTATCAATATAATTTATTATTCAAAAAAAAAAAGTTTACAACCTAATTGTTGGATTTGCTATATTTTTTCAACTTCTTTTTGTAGGGCTCTAATACTGTTGATTTCATGAAAATTATCAATATTTGAGATTATTGATAAAATAATTGAAAAAATTAGCTCCCTTCAAAAATGCATTAAAAATAAACATAATTTAATTGTTTCTATTTTAATCTTAAATACATCGTATTCATTCTTAAATAGTAAAGTTCTTAATGCAATTTAATACTCAAATTTTCATCATTTATTTTAAAAATTTATCGCATATGGGGATTAAATGTCTTAAATGCTAAGACGTAGAAGAATAAATCACTACTTAGTCTTTTGTTAGAACAAATTTAAAAGAGAAAAGTTAAGAATAATAAAAAAACAATAGATAAAAATTCTTATATGATAAATTGAATAAATCTTAAAATTCATAATTTAGTCCATCAAAATAATAATATGAATGTGAATGGTTTCCGAATATATGTATAAATGCTAAGAATGAATTTAATATTGAGGGTTTTGAAGAATCTTGGATTTAAACTAATTAAAATTTTCTAACTTCATAAAATGAATAATAAAAACATAGAATTTCATAGAATTCATCAGCTTAAACAACTCCTCAATAGCCTTTTTTATTACATGTATCTTAATCAATAATAAGAGATAAAATCTCCTAAAAATATAAAAATGATTAAAAGCATCGAAATAGAACTAAATCAGAAAACATAATAAATAGAAGAGAGTGTGAAGAAAAAAAAAAATACTGTAAAAATATAAAACATGAAATAAAAAGGGAAAAAAAGAGAATACTACACCCTTCTAAAGAAAAACAAGTTACTCAATTAAAATTGTAATAAAAGTAATAAAATCTTACAATTTTAATTAATGGTCATTGTGAATTTAAGAGTTAGGCTTCACCATCTTAAATACAACATCGATCCAAAACAATGAGTCCAACTCCAAAAAAAAATCAATTTTTAATAATTTGATATATTTTTTTATAAAAATTTATTATAATTCAACTTAAATTGATTAATAAATGTTATTATACAAAGTTTCAAGTTATCATTAATTAAAAATATTGAATTTTTCAATTAAGACTAAATATTTATAAGAGAGAAAATCAATAAAATATTCATTTTACTTGTTAGATATAATTGACTTATAAAAATCTTAACTAATCTACACTTAAAATGTTTATCAAGCTAGACATTAAATTTCGTTTCCAACTTTAATAATTTTTTTCAATAAAAATGTTGAAATACTGTTAAAATAAAATAATATTATGAATTTAGAGACTTTCTAAGCCAATCAAATTAGAAATCAAAATTATTTTAACATAAATAGAATAAAAACCATTAGGATAAATTATTAATTAAAATAATAATAAATGGTTCTAAATGTTTAAGAAAGATGTATGTATATATAAAGAAAAACAAATCAGTAAAAATTAAAAATCCTTTTAATTAATTCATAACAATTAATATTACATAATGTTAGGGGTTAATAAAGATTTACATAATTATTTTTAATTATAGTGTTTGTGTTATCAAAAAACACTTCTTTCATTTAGTAATTAAAATTTTACATTTCAAAACAATATGATCGTGATTTTAAAACTATTTCTGATTTTAATGTGAGATTTTTGAATATTCTTAGCATTGAATTGACAGCCTAAGATTGTCTTGATAATTTTTAAAAATTAGATGACGAAGTCGAGTATACAGATTATTATATCGATACAACTGATTATTAACCGTTGGAAAGTTATTCTTATTCCTTTTGGATAAAATATACTAATCTAGATCCATAATATAAAATTAATGTACCCGATGAAGGCTACAGTTGGTGTGGTGGATATGAATTCATTATCTGGTCATAAACTTTAGATTATGATATGTTTAAGATTTCAGTATTGATGTTAAGATTCTCGAGAGAGAAAAGTGAGTTCAGATTTTTGTATAGTGATGTTGGTGAAGATGATCCTTTAGAAGTTATATTTTAATAGGATTCATAAAGACTTGATAATCAATGGATATATTTTAGGATATCGTATTATCCTTATGATTATAAGGTAGTTATATAGAAAGATTCTGATATTAATATTTTGAATGTTTAAACAATATATTCTGGATATATTTAAAGTACGTTGGGATACGACAATTTTGTATTTATGATTTATTGATAGTTAGATTGTAATAGCTAATACATTTTTTGTAGTAGAAATGTTTCCAGGATACCTAACAAACTAAATATATAATGAGAAATAAATAACACAAAATGACTATTTTTACCCAGATTATATAAATTGCAAACTTGAAGAAGATAGTTAAGAAGTAACTAAAATATTTGTTGATGGATTATAACACTTTAATTCTGGACTGGTAATTGTAGACAAACTTTTGATGATAGGTGAGAAATATATAATATAGGGTTGGGTAAAATTAAACTTGGATTTTGTAACAATTACAGATCCGCTATCTTAATTGTTGATGAGAATTACTATAAATTCTTATTATATGGATGCTACATATTAGGGTGATAGAACATTTTATTATCGATATAATATTTACAAATAGAATGTTTAAAATTCAAATATCTATGTTGAAACATCTCATTATAAGATTCCTTACTAATGTTATTAGTATAATAGAATATTTGGAGAGATTGAAGATTTCGAAAAATGGTAATACGAAGAAGAGCAATTATTTAATTTAATTCAAGAATGGCATTTCTTTATTTTTGAACATGGTCGAGGAGAAAGTTTAGAAGAAAGTTCTTGCATTTATTTATATTTTACAAATAGAAATGAACCAATAAAACATTGTTTTGGAAGTGAGAATCAGAAACACTAATATTCAAATGGATACTATTATATTTATATAGGAGAAGATGACTATATAAATAAGAAATTAATAGGATCAATATCAGATTTAACAATTAAATATAATTATAATGATTTGTAAGAAATTAAGATCAGTATAAATTAAACTTATTTTAGATTGTCATTTTTCATGTTCAACATGTAATGGTCCAACAGCAAATAATTGTCTATTATGTGATTAGGAACTTAATCGAATTTATGATATTATTAATAGATCTTGTGTCTGTTTAAAAAACTATATGTAGGTTGATAAAAATAAAAAATGTCAATCAATTTAAGAAATTTTTCCATTCTCTCAAGAATCATAGATTTCTACAATTTATGAGGAATAATGTGAATTTGGATATTTTAAAATTCCTAAAGACAATGCTTTTACTTGTAAAAAATGGTATAAAATATTTTATTAATTTAGTCCATTTGAAATTATAAATAACATCTATTGTTTAGATTGTTATGAATATTCTAATACTTGGTATTCAAACACAATTTGTACTAGTGATTTTATTTAGTAAGATAGATCTTAAGATTAAGGATATATTATGAATTAAAGAAGTGAAACTGAATATGAAGTATTTTTACTTGATGTTGAAGATAACCTGATATATTTTGAATAATATAAATATATTTGTAATGATTCTGATATTAGATAAGGAATTAGAAATTGTGTTTAACTTAAATAGAAAAATTTAAAGTAAGATACTTTTGTAGAATGTTCTTCTAATTATTATTATTAAGATGGAGATTGCATTCGTTGCTAATCTAATTGTTTAAAATGTACTTAGAATGCTTCATGTTATTCTTGTATTCCTAAAAATTATATTAAGAATGGAAAATGCTTTAATTGTCCTGCAAATTGCAATTAATGTTATTATGATGAATTGTTGGAAGTTGAATTATGTTAATTTTGTGATTCGTATTGTTATTTTATTATTCTAGATCCTTTGCTTTAATTAGAGGAACTTGTTAAAAATGTGGAAATTATTGTTAAACATGTATAGAAGATTTTGATTCAGAGAGCTAATTATATTTTAATCGATGTATATAATGTATAGATTCTTCTAAATATTACATTTCTATTAGAGGTAAACATTGTTTAGAAAATTTAATTGAGAATTGTTTATATGCATTTGAATATATAGAAACAGATGATATCAAAATTAATACTTTAGATTATAAGTTTTAAATTAATTCTTAACTTACACCTACAGTTAGTTGTGCTAGATGTATAGATAATTTTGGAGTTGATCAAAATAATTTTTGTTCAAGCTTACAAAATTTAGATTTTGTTAATTGTATATTTTCAGCTTATCTTATTACAAACTAAAGTCATATTTGTATTCTAGGAGCTGAAAGTAGATAAACTAATTAATGTGCTTAGACAACTCTTTCTTGTTAAACATGTTTATATTAAAAATCTATTGATAAGAATTTCTGTATTGATTGCTTAAAAGGATATTATGCTGATAGATTAACTGGACTTTGTTTTTAATGTCCTAAATCATTATTTTGTAATACTTGCACCTAATAAATGAAAGAAACTCAAAATTATTGGTAAACAAATATTATGAATTTTTATGAAACTATTATTAATAAAGATGGATTACATTCATTTCAAGAAAATGCTTAAAGCTAATCAAATTAAGATTATGAAGTAATTTGTACTTCTTGTATTAACTAATATATTTTAATAAATAATTTATGCATTAAATCATGTCCAGAAGATTGTGCTTAATGTATTCTTAAAGATAATTAATTTATATGTCTTAAATGCATATATGAAAGTTAAGGTCGTATGTTAACTATATATAATAATTAGTGTTTAAAATGCCCACAAAATTGTAAGGTTTGTAGAAATAGATCCTAAATTGAAATTACTTCACTTAATCCTTTCTTTTAAAATTAAAATTATATCATGTACTCAAGATAATGTTTGATACCTTCTAATCATCAACTACAATATAATAAAGAATATGGTATTTTTCTAAACTGCAATATAAATGGTCCATGTGAAAATCATATGTTATTTTAAATCAATTTATATTGCGATTTTGATGAATATTAAAATGTTTTAATACAAAATTAAAACAATTTATAATTCTTGTAAGGAAATGCTTATATAGAAGATTTACTAAAAAATAACTTTTCTCTTTTGTCTAATGATTTGCTTTATTAACATGCAAATGAAGCATAAATTTCAACTCTTATAATTTAAATTAACAGTAAGAAATCTTAAAATTGTTTTCTAGATCAACAATTTATTATTTCCCAAAATTTTTAATAACACATTTTTACTTTAAAGTATTTATTTTTAATATTTTAGAACTGTTAAAATTGAAATAATTGGACAATCTCTTTTAACAATTTAACTTTCTCAAAATCTAAAATTTGAAAACTTTTAAAATGTTTTACTTTAGAATATTAAATTTGTTATTGCACCTAATGTTGATTAACTAGTTTAAATTGTGATCTAATCATTAATTAAATAAAAAGTAGAATTTTAAAATTTGACTTTTACCTCATCTACTAATAATTTAGGTTGCTCTATTTAAATTTTGAATGCATATTAAATTAAACTTCAAAATATTGTAATAATAGACTACAAACATCGAGTATCTTAAGGATTTTTAAATATTCATTCTTCTGATAGAAGTGGTTTCATATAAATTATAGATTTTCAATTAATTAATGCAGACATTCAAGATTCTTCATTTATTTAATTTTAGACTTCAAAAAATTATTTAATTGAAATTTAAAATATTTTTATCCAATCAATATTATATGGATCCTAATTTATTGTTTGTATTTCAGATTTTGAGTGTGGTAAAATAAAAATTACTAATTTTGAATTTTAAAATTCACTTAGTCAAAATTCTTTATTATTTTAACTTGATAAATTTATTGAGGCCGAATTTACACATTTATTTGTCAAAGAAATAGAATTTTAAAACTCTACCTTGATGTAATTTATTTAAATATTTACTCTTTCACATTTGACATTAAAGGATTCAAAAATATTCAACAGTATTTTAATTAAAAATATCTTGCAGGCTAATTTAGATAAATATATTTACACATTTTAAAATATTGAAATTATATCAAACTATTACAATAAAGAGTCAAAACTTATTATTATAAACAGATTTACAGCCCAAGAATCATTACTTATAATTAAAGGAGCCAAATTTATATCAAATCATCTTGATAAATACCTAATTAATGAAAATTTGAAATAAATTAATCAATCCTTAATTATTTTATAATGTGATAAAATTATATTACAAAATATAATAATTTGGTAAAGTAACGGTTTGCCAATTATCTCATTTATTAATTCATAGCATATTGAAATTAATAATTTATATATTACAACAAGTAATGAAACAAAATAGTTAATCTAAAATTAATAATTAGATACATCATAATTAGGATTAATATTATAATTTTTTGCAGCATAATTTTTAGATATAAGTGAGATTGTTGTTCAATCAGTAATATTAAGTAATTATCCTCTAATAAGTTATGAATCAATTACCAACTCAATATCTTAATAAAATGAATAGATTAAAATAAAAAAATTGTAATTTAATAATAATATCATAATATTTGATTCAACAAGAAATAGTGTATGTCTTTTTGAAATAATATCCAAATAAAATATTACTGCAATATTTGAAGATGCTATATTTTAAAATAATATTTTATTACATAAAAATTAAGGTCAAAAACAACGATCTGCAACTTTACTTTATTTTGATTGTTTGGATTGTAAATTTTAATTTTATTCTAATAAATATATTTCTAACGTAGTTATAAATGCAAGTGTAAGTATAATCTATGTAAAATCTAAGGAATTGATAATTTTTAAATCATTATTTTCTTCAAATGGTCGTTATAATACTGATATAAATAAGTTATTAAGAACCTTTTAAATAACAATTCAAGATTAAATGATTAATCAAGAGAGTGCTAATGGTATATTTAATTGTTAAAACCTAAAAATTTATAATTCATTATTTGAGTTTTCATATGGTTCTCTTTCAAGTGCATTTTATTTTTTATCATCCTAAACAGGAAATTTGGATGTTAAAAGAACCATTTTTTAACATAATAGTAATTTATATTTTGGAGATAAATTAAAAGGAGGTTCAATTTATATTGAGGGTAATAATCATTTATATTACATTAATCTTGAAGATAACATATTTAAAAATATTTCCTCATAAAAAGGAGGAGCTTTATAAATTTAAAATACTTTAGGGATATCATAAATATTCTTAAAAAATATATTAATTGAAGATGTGAACTCGTTATATGGCACTATTATTTTTGCTATTCTCTCAAATTAATTTTAAAGTTAATCATCAATTTAGATTATCAATGTTACAATCAATAATAGTTTTTCCAGTTATGCAAAATATTAAACTTTTGTCTAAGATTCTTTTTCTAATAAAGCAAATGATAATATATTTTTATATAGATCGATGATTTACTCAGAACATGGAAAATTGATTGTTAATAATATGAATATTTTGTAGGCTCATCAAGAAACAATAATTATGGATTAATTTATTAAAGGACTTATTCTTTAAAATTTATATGTTTAAAATACAAATTATTCCTATTATGGATTAATTTTTATTTCTCCAGATATTAGTAATAAAATTATTTATTTATAATAGATGAAAAGACAGAGATCTTAATTAAAAAATTATCAGTATCAGGATCATTAAAATCTGAATACATCAATCCTTCTGATTATTCTATATAAGGTTTAATTAATTTATAAAACTTGAATGAATAGCATTATTTAATTATAGAAGATATTCAACTCTAAAAAATAGACTGTGACAATTGTTATTAAGGATTATTTAACATTTATGGTTCTATTACTTCTTCACAATAAATTATTATGAGAAGAATAAATTTAAGAAATAATTTATGTGGTCTAAAAGGATGCATTAATGTGTTTTAGTTTGATTAAATTTAAAATAATCAATCTACAAATAGATTACTTTAGTAAATTGATTAGAATGCATCCTTTCCTTACTCAATTTAAATCTAAAATTATTTTTGCAATGGTAATTAAGCAAATAATGGTGTTTGTTTAAGAATTAAAGACTTTTCTATTATACTTGAATTTTCTTAATTAATAAATAATAAAGCAATTGAATAAGGAGGGGCAATTGTATTTTAAGGTAGAAAGGCTATATTTACAATTTTAAATAGTATAATAGCTAATAATGTTGCAAAAGTTGGTGGAGGAATTTACTATATTGAATCATTCTCTAAAAATTATACTGAATTAAACTCATATATTTCTAATAATAGTGCAACTTATTTTGGAGATGACACAACGGAATTGCCAAATTAAATAAAAATTAATATTCAAAATCATTTATACTCAAATAAACAAACACATTTTCAAAATAAAATTATTGATTAAGTATTAATTTAAGAAAATACTACAATTAATCAATCTTTTATTAAGTTACCAAGTGCATAGCCTCTTCATTTATATGAATAATTTGATTGGAAGAATAACAATTATAAAATGATAAATTATACTTTAAGATTAATTCCTTTTGATTAAAAAAATAATAGAGTTAAAAATCTAACAAATAGTAAATGTTCTATATAAGGCAGATTATTTGATTTTAATAAAATACAAGAAAGTGAAATGAAGTAATTCAATACTAATTTTACAAATTTCTATGAAGTTTCTTACAATACTTAAATTGAAGATTATAATTTTGATGGTCTTATAATATATTTTGATCCTGATTTACCTGATAATATTGTATTATAATTTGAATTTAAATGTGATTCAATAAAAATACCAATAATCAATGAAAATTCTCCTAAAAATACAATAATTGAATAATCTGAAGAATATTATTTAAGATTAAATATTAAAACATTAAATTGTTAGGTTGGAGAATTAAAAAATGAAGAAGATTTATCTTGTCATCCATGTGATTACACTTAAGATTAATATTCAGTTAACTTTAATTAATAAAAATGCAAAATTAGAGATAATATTTAAATGGAATCAGTTAAATCTGCATAACTAAAATTAAGACCTGTAATTAATTTTTATTATTTAATATTAGAATTTCTGGAGACCATATTTTTATGCAGATTTGGTAGAAAATTGTTATAATGATGAATTTAATTGTTTAGGAGGATGGAATTATGGTGATTCATCATGTTCTCAAGGGCATATTGGTGCTTTATGTGAATAATGTGATCTATATAATACTAGAGGAGAAGGATCTTATTCAATTAGTTCAAAATTTAAATGTGGTTCATGTGATGACACAAATGCAAATACATTTATCATCATTGGTATATCTTTATGGTAAATATTATATAATTATTATTTTCATAGGACTCTTATTTCTATTTCAATTTCTGTTAAAAGTACAATTGAAATTATAAAATAATTAGCTAGAGCCTCCAAATTAAAATCAATAGGAATTACAATTGTTGTTACTAAGAATAATGCAGTCAACTTAATTAAGATTCTTACTAATTATTTATAAATTATAGCATCTATTAGCACTTTTTAACTACAATTACCTTAGAATATGGAATCTGCAATAAATTCTTTAGGAAATCCAATAGAAACTATGGCTTATTCTTTGGATTGTTTTTTAAAAGATATTTTTGAAAACATCTCTATTCATTATTCAAGAACAATTTGGTAATTGATTATGCCAATTATTTATATTCTTTTATTTTTTTAATTGTATGGAGTTGGAGTCATTATAAAATTTGTAGATTTTAACTTATGTGTAATTTCAACAACTTTAATTTATATGTTTATATATCTATAACCTAATATAATTGCTGGATAAATTGGATTGTTATCTTATAGAAATATATCTGGATACTAATGGATATTAGGAAATGTAGCAAATAGATATGATACAGAAAATCATATGAAATGGTTGATTTCATTTAGTTTTCCTGTATTATTTACTTTTGGTGTATTAATCCCTGGATTGTTATTTAATAGACTTTTTAAAATAAAAGATAATTAAAACAACATGTAAAATAGATTAATTTTTGGTTATTTGTATAATGAATACAAAGGTAGTGCATATTATTGGGAAATAATAAAGATTATTTAAAAAGAGTTAATTATTATTTTCCTCACATTTTATCAGGATTAAATTCTTGTTAAAGCAGTGTTGGTCTATGGAATAATCTTTATTTATAACTATTTAACTTTGTAGATTTTTCCATATTAAGCAATGTAACTTAATGTTTTAGACCATTAATCTACTAGAATTTGTGGTTTTTCAATTGTTTTAGCAATTGGAATTTATGGATCATTAAAAAATGGAATTCTTGAAGTTTAGATTCCATTTTATATAATTATGGCTATTATAAACTTTTTATTTTTAGCCAAATTAATGCTTAACATAATTAAAGCTTATTTCTAACAATTTGCAATTATAATCGATAAAGTGAGGGATTTGATTAGAACAAAGATTCCATAACTTTAGGAATATCCTTTCTTTTAAAAAATACTAAAAAACTAATAATAAACAACTCTCAGAGCTTAAAAAAATTTTAGAAAAATCAAAGCTGCTGTGATGATAATTTCAAAATAAATTATTCAAAATAAAAAAACAATGACATCATAGGAAAGAAAAGGAACTTTTCTTTTGGAGGCAAATTTTATGCATTCTTTAGATAGAATGTAAATGTCATAAACATCTATTAGAAAAAATAATCAAATTTAGGAAAAATAAAAATTGATACAATGAATTCAATTTATAAGAGATTTAATCTATTTTTTTGAATTAAGTTTTTCCCTTTCACTTAATGTTTTTTTTATAAATATTTTTACAATGTTCCTAATTAATAATTTAAAATCAATAATTTTAAGATGAAAAAATACTTATAATTAAAATTGAAGAGTGCTATTTTAATAATCTTAAGTATTTTATTTCTGATTTACCTAAGTATTAAAAATTGAATTAAAATTAAATTAATTAATATTTCTGAAAATCCTTTAATTGTTGTATCATCTTATAAATTTTGAGCTGGTACTCTTTTGAATAATAATAATATTTAAATTAAAATTACTAAAATAAATCAGAAAAACTCAAAAATAACATTCTGAATAACAAAATCTAATTTATAGTGTTATATAATTCTTGTTCATCATTCTTTTAGAATATAATTGTTATAACAGAATTATTAAAATAAATAATTAAATTAAAAAAAATCGTGTTATCTCTCTACTCTAATTAATTATCTGATGTTTCAAAATTAAAATTTTTTTGATATATTTTTATTTAGTTATTTATAATGGATGGTATTTTGAAGAAAGTTGAGAATAAAAACAAGAACTAATGGAGAAATGGATAAACTTTTCTTCATGATAATACAATCTGAATGTATTAATTTCTGACATAATAATTATGTTCATTATAATAAATTGATTTATTTTTTAGAATGATCAAGAATATTTAATTCTTTATTAAAATAAAATTAATCATTATTGTTTCTTACATAGAATATTTCATGGCCTTTTTAACACTATAAAACTGCACACATCATTTTATTATGCAGCCTTTATATCTTATAAGTTTTCATAATATTTTGATTTTAAATCTATGAAGTTACAAATGAATTACCTATTATTGATATTTATTATTAATTAAAAGGGACTTTTGAGTTTAGATTATCTATTTTAAAAAAATATTATAAATATTTTTTTTCATTAGTGAAGGTTTTGACACTAGAGATTTATGTTTGCTAAAATTTTTCTGCTTCTTAAATTTGTAATAATGTAGTTTAAAAACTGTAATTCAAATTTGAAGAATATCCATAAAACTCTTTTTTCACTTGCATGTTATTTTCTTTTAGTGCGATCTCCCTATTCTCAAAATTAATTTCGCATAATTAATTCTAAAGACAATCTATTTTCTTTATATCTGTCAATAGTTTAAATCGATCATAAATTAAAAAACAAATAAGTAATAAGTGAGATTTATTATAAGTGCCATCACAAAATATGGCCACTGATTTTTATTAGACTTTAATTACATCCTAATATAAAAAATAGAGAAATACATCAATTAATTTTACAGCTCCTTAATTTTCTAAATAGGGTTGTTTNTATCATCTTATAAATTTTGAGCTGGTACTCTTTTGAATAATAATAATATTTAAATTAAAATTACTAAAATAAATCAGAAAAACTCAAAAATAACATTCTGAATAACAAAATCTAATTTATAGTGTTATATAATTCTTGTTCATCATTCTTTTAGAATATAATTGTTATAACAGAATTATTAAAATAAATAATTAAATTAAAAAAAATCGTGTTATCTCTCTACTCTAATTAATTATCTGATGTTTCAAAATTAAAATTTTTTTGATATATTTTTATTTAGTTATTTATAATGGATGGTATTTTGAAGAAAGTTGAGAATAAAAACAAGAACTAATGGAGAAATGGATAAACTTTTCTTCATGATAATACAATCTGAATGTATTAATTTCTGACATAATAATTATGTTCATTATAATAAATTGATTTATTTTTTAGAATGATCAAGAATATTTAATTCTTTATTAAAATAAAATTAATCATTATTGTTTCTTACATAGAATATTTCATGGCCTTTTTAACACTATAAAACTGCACACATCATTTTATTATGCAGCCTTTATATCTTATAAGTTTTCATAATATTTTGATTTTAAATCTATGAAGTTACAAATGAATTACCTATTATTGATATTTATTATTAATTAAAAGGGACTTTTGAGTTTAGATTATCTATTTTAAAAAAATATTATAAATATTTTTTTTCATTAGTGAAGGTTTTGACACTAGAGATTTATGTTTGCTAAAATTTTTCTGCTTCTTAAATTTGTAATAATGTAGTTTAAAAACTGTAATTCAAATTTGAAGAATATCCATAAAACTCTTTTTTCACTTGCATGTTATTTTCTTTTAGTGCGATCTCCCTATTCTCAAAATTAATTTCGCATAATTAATTCTAAAGACAATCTATTTTCTTTATATCTGTCAATAGTTTAAATCGATCATAAATTAAAAAACAAATAAGTAATAAGTGAGATTTATTATAAGTGCCATCACAAAATATGGCCACTGATTTTTATTAGACTTTAATTACATCCTAATATAAAAAATAGAGAAATACATCAATTAATTTTACAGCTCCTTAATTTTCTAAATAGGGTTGTTTCAGACACTCTTAAACAATTGTTGGATTTAATTAGGGAATTTCCTAATAGAGCACTTCTTGATCTTCTAAATTAATTATAGCAACTATATCCATTAATGCTAATTAATCAAGCTTCTATTTCTTTCTGCTTTGATCTTTACATTTTAAAAAATCTTTAGTTGTAAGATAAATGTTAGATTAAGGATGCTTTTGATCTAATTATATTCGAATAAATTTTTTTTCATCTAATACTATTCGACTAAATTTTCGTTTATCTATTTCTGATTGAATACCCTACATCAAAGTTTATTAGAATATTTTTTTAGTAAAAAAAAATAATTAATAAGATTTTTTTATCACTTTCTAATTGCTAATACAAATTTAGATGAATGATATATAGAATATATTAGGAAATATCTAATATGAATTAGAAATATATAGAGATTTCTTAACTTAAATTAAGGATTAATTCAGAAAATATTGAAAATAATAAAAAATGATTATTTGTTATCTTGATATCATTATTTAATAAGGAATGAAGAAAATTTTAAATTAATATATGTTATTCATTTTATTATTTTTTCAAATCATGAATCATTTTGATTAATTTCTAACTTTTCTTTATTGGATTGTTTAGAGTTCAAAGATAAATATTTTGATTTTACTACATTTTTGAATTTCTTTTCTTCATACATTTTATTTCCTATTCTTCCCCTGGCATTAATGAACCATATTTAAATCTGAATATTTTAATAATATACTTGTTTTTAGGTTAGATTACATTTTTCAGCAAGTTACTCAACCTATTCCTTACTAGGATATGGATAAGAATAGTGTTTATTCAACCAGTTTTTTAAAATTAAGTTAGACTTTTTAGAAAACTTTTAACTTTTTTTTTCAATATTTTTATCTGATATTTTCATAGTTTATCTTTAATAGGATAGCTTAAGTTCATTTTAGAAGACTTGGGACATGTAATCAAAATACTGTTGTAATGATTTCAACGTATGAAATTCCAATTGAGATGGATTTTCACTAAATGATTTAAGGTACATGAGAAGACCTTAAAAATGTACTACATTAGTATGGGTTTAACTTTAAGAATGTATTTCATCTGAATGAGATTGTAATATATCCTCACTAAATATAAAAATTGTATACTTAGGACAATTATGTTAAACCCATTTATTTAATTAAGACTCTAAGTTGGAAACTTGTTGTAAGACAAATTGTTTTCTCAATTCTGAGTGAATCGCCAATGATTGAGACATTGAGATTTTGTGATTAAAAATCGAGAAATTATTAATGAAATTAGATTTAATAAATGATGACATAAATATGAATAAAATAAAATTGATTTTAAAATAGAGAGTATATTTATTCTCGTAATATAAAAAATAATGTAAAAATCTTATTAAAAATAATATATATAGTATGTATGCAAATATGTATGAAGAAAATAATTAAGAAATTTATGTAAATTTATGTATTAATTCAATCCCAACTACCTATGCATCTATCAGTACCAAGTCTTACAGATTAACCTTTAGCACATTCATCATATCCATAAATTTTGTTAGCACTACAAGCACTTGGTTGACAACAACCTTTAATTTTATAAAAAACGAATATGAATACCTTTTCTTTTTCCACCACAATTAACTCCTCCTTTGCTTGTACATAATTACATGCAAAAGTCGTAATTGGCTTCTCCTTTGGTGTATGTTTCATGAGATAGTTTTCTCAAATTCTATAATATTATATCATTAATACATAAAATTGTTCCAAAGGTGCATATTAGTACATAAACATTGCTAATGTGGCTGCTAAAGCTAGAAGAACGAATAATTTGATTTTTTACATTTTAATTAATGAATATATCTTGTAACAAATTTTGGTTGGAAAATGGTATTTTAAAATTGATATTTTTAGAATGTATAAATTGCTGATTAATCTATTTTAATATAAAACATTTTCACCATTCATTTTAACCTTCTATGAGAATTTTGTGATTATTTTATAAATAATTCACTTAATCGTTATATTATTTTGAATGCTTAATTCTTCATTTAATTTTTTTGAGGAGAATGACATTGTCAAATTGAGAAAATATGTATCCTTATAAATTATACTAACAAGCTTATTTCTAAGGAAAATGAATGGAAAAAAGATAAAGCAGTTCTAGAGCAAAAAAACTAATTGCTTGAACTCTAATTAGAAGATTATAAATTAAGAGAAACTAATTAAAGAAAATTAAATGATACAATTAGTTAAGCTATAAATGACTCAACAGCCATTTAGAAAGTATATTGTATTTTTTTATAGTTTAGAAATCAATTTCAGAATTATAAAAGAATATTGATATTTAACAGAAAGACCATTGTAAAACTAAATATAAAGAGTAGATTAAATAATTAGAATTTTAAGTAATGATTTCTACTAAATTTAAGGTTAGATCTTTATATGAATAAATACAAGAAAAAGAATCCTAAGTAAAAGAATTAGAATTACAATACTAAAAGCAATACTTACTTTATGATCATCGTATTTCTTAACTTGAATAAGAGAAACTTTCAAATAATTAGGAAATTCAAAGATTAAAAGAACTATTAATAAAATAAGAGGATGCTTTTAAATAAAAAGAATAATAATATAAATTACTACAAGAACAGGAAATATAAAAAATAAAAGATCTAAATATATAAGATCATAATTCAAAGCAATAGGATTATGAAACTAAATTTGCATAATTATCTACGGTACATGAAAAAGAAAAAGAACAATTATAATTGAGAATTAGTAAATGTTAGAATACAATTAAAAAATATTAATAACATATTGAGTAAAATGTTGATATCATGAATTTGAAATAATAATATGAAGAATAAATAAATTAGTTGAATAATAAGAGTACTGAAATTTAGGCTTAATTCTCATATGAAAAATAAATCTTATTGAAGCAAATTGAAGAATTGAAAAAAATTAATAGAGATTCAAATCTTCAAGAAAGTATGAATTGTCATAATAGTACTTCTAAAAAGAGAAGTATTGATGCTATTAAAATTAAGAGTTCTCTCTAATCATATGATAGTCCTATTTAATGTAAAAGTTTTCACATAGCATGTCCTGAAAATAAAGTCTAAATCTATAATAACTATTTGAAAAATTCATCTACTTAATCTATTATTTTAGCTTAAAAATAATTAATTTAATAACAATTATAATAAAATAATCAATCATTTGATAAATCTTGCAATATGAATGATGGAATGCCTATTTCAATAGATTAATTCAATTTAATGAAAGATAAAAAATAAAAGTCATAATCAACTATTTCTATTCCAACCAGTAATAATTACAATCTTAATTCATACTTATAAGAACATAGCATCTTTTAATAAAATCAAGAATCTTTTTAATTGGATTCAAAAAGCAATTTAAAGGATGAAACATAAAACCTAAAACATTTTAAATAGTTGAATCCAAATATTTCAAATCGTTAAATTTAATTTGATTATAATAGATCTATCAATAAAGAATTAAAAAGATAAAAAAATTAAAATTATTAAAGATCTATGTCTTAAGAAGGAGTAAAACAATAAATATCAAATTTAAACAAAATTTTAGGTTAAACTGAGTTAAGTTTCTAATAGAGTACCTCAACTTAATAAAAAACTAATAATACATCACTTAATAGTTTCAAAATTCCTGCTTTTACATAGAATTAATTAAATACATTAAAAAAAAGTTAATAATGTATGTATCCTTGTACAACTTTAAGAATGAAGGAAAATCTTTTAGAAAAAATAAAAAATCACAATAATCATAGTACCCATGAAGAGACTAAATAAAATAAAGAGAATTGTTAACCAATTAAAAATCATTCAAAAAATGACATCAAATTTATTATTGGTAAATTATTGTAAAATAAGGGAAAATAAAGTGATCTCCTTGATAAAAATGGATATATAATAAAGAATAACAGGATTTGAAGAAATGATTATTTTATATGCTTAATATAATATTAATTATTTTAATAATGAATTTTATTTTATTTTTTTCATCTTTTATGATTTTGAGAAGCTAATCTAACAAATATTTTATCAAAGATCAAATTTGAATTATTATTGCTGCCATAAACTTAAATTGTCTAATAAATAAAGTTAATTATTAATTAAAGATAAATGTTAATGAACATAAAAAATACTTTTCGCTTTTCTTAATTCAAAATAAAAATTGATCAGATTTAACATCATAAATACGGTCCATTATAAGAAATAGACTTTAAATTATTGAATGTTCATTAACAAACATCTTTAAGGGAGATCTATTATTCTTATATGAAACATATGAAATTGTTTGAAATATAATAATAAGAAGAAAAAATGGAATAAATTAAGAAAGCATATATAAGAATTTTGGCAAAACGATTATAAAATTTGGATGAAATTGGTGAAATGGAATCTAAAGATTTAAGATTTCTGATTGATAATAATTTTGGATTCCCTTTTGTTGAAGGATTAAGAAGATCAGAGATGATTACTTAATTTTAAGAAGAAATTGAATCTAAAAAGCTTTATCATTATCCTCGTATAGCATAAGCATTATTATGGATAATATTGGGAATTCCTAGTCTTTTTTTAAGTGACAATTATGTATATGAAAATTGAGTAAACATAATTAATAAAATCATAACTTCTCAACTGATTCAGGAATAATCAAGAATTCAGTATCTAAAAATTATAGACTTTCATTTTTTATTGGAGTCAATATATTTTCTAATGTTTTGACAATTAAATCTTTTTTATTTTTTAGATGAGCACTTTTGCTTAATTATTTATTGTTTTAATTCGTTTTAGCTTCTTATTCAAATATTGGTGTAATATCTGATAATATGATAGCTTTATAATTTGAAAATTATTCATAATTTTTAGGATCAAATATTAACGTAAATGGTTCTTCATTTTAAATAAATGAATTTTTAATATCCAATTCAATAAATTCTTAAAGAGATTCAGAAGATGTCATATCAACAGATCTTTCTTCAGAGCAAACATCTTCAGCAACTTCTTCTTCAGAATCTAAATTATATTCAATGAATGAATATTAGAAGAAAGGTTTTCTAGGATTAATAATCTTAAAGTCAATAATTTTCCCATTATAATATCTACAAGAATCAAAAACATCAAAATAAACCTTTCTTTTATTATTAGGTTTATTTGGTTTAGCTAAAGTTTCATTATTAATATTTGATTATTAGATTTCAATGAAATTTGAAATAAAAAGTTTATCTAAATTGGATATTTTCTTTTCAAATTCAACTTGTCTCTCTTGATCCCACTATGAAATTGATTTGTGAAGACATTTTTTAAGTTAATTTTTGGCAGATTTTCTCATAAATTTATCAATATTATCATTTTTCATTCTAACTTTTGTAGATTCTTGGTTTTCTTTTTTTTATTTTAAATAATAATCTTCTTTTGTGATTTTTTTAATTTCTAAGATAAGAATAAAATTTACTTTTAGTACTTTATTCTTAAGTTTTAGAATGATCATTAATTTTTTAAGTAATGATTACTTTACTAAAATTTTGAGCTGATTCTTCAGTAGGAAGATCTTCAGAAATATACTTTTCAATGCATTCTTGATTAATAGATTTAGTAAATGGTAATTATAAGGATGCTTTAACATTAATATATCTAAGGAATGCATCTTCTATTCTAGTAATATGAAGAGAATCTAATGAATCTAAAATTTCAGCAATAGATTCAATAATTTAAAAAATTTGCTGTCTTAATTTTCTGACAGCAATAAATGTATCAATTTACTCATGATCTCTTAAATCTTCAATATTTTTGATTTCATAATAACCAGAAATTTCAGTAGTAGTAAAGGTGAGATTAGTTGAAATAGGATGAACATGATTCATATTAAGTAATTTAAGGAATAGAGTATAATTGAATTCTTGATCATAATTTAGTTATGAATAATCCAATCTAGAAATTTTAGGTAAAAAAACAGAATCTGTAGTTTTTTTGATTAAAGCAAGCATATGTTCTAATTCGATATTTTAATTAGTATTAAGAGATTGAGTAATGAAATTCTTACATTAATGAGCCAATTTTGAACGATGAAAGGATATCGGTTGTCCCTCCAATTTAATAGATATTAGCCTTTAAAGTGAAGGAATATCAAATGGGTCATTGTTAATGGAATTGATGAAATTTTAATTAGGGTTAATGGAAAGAACTGGCAAACCCATTTTGACTAAGTTATCAAATAAAGATTCATAAAAAGGTTTTCTGGATAGTAAGGCATCAAGGATTTCATTATCTGTTGTAACCTATTCTGATAATTATTATGAATAAATGTTTTACGTTATGGAATAGAGTTCGTTAATTAATGATTGGACTAAGAGATATCTACAGACATTATTATAATTAGTAAAAATTAAGCCCAAAATATTTGTGTGATATTTATTTTATACAAAGAAAAAGGTTAAAATAATTATTGATAAATTATTTTGGAATGGGGGTTAATTAATTTATATAGTTATAGTTCTTATAATTCTGTAATGGATGTTAAAGAATTTTATATATCAATTATTATTTCAATATTATTTATACAAATTGTATTAATCAAAATTATCATGAATATCAGGAAAAAATGATTAGTAATTAAATTATTATATGATATTAGTATAAATTCATAGAATTAATCGTTGAAAATAAATTTATAAAAAGGAAAAAATTATATTGTGATTTCATCATGGATATAGAATTAATTGAATAAGGCCAAAATACAAAGTTAATTTCATTTTAAGTTTAATAACACATTGATTTTATCAAATAGATATGATATGTTAATTATTTAAGATAATCTAATTCGAAAAAGAATATTTATAAATAGATGATAATTGTTTAATGAGAGATCTATATGCAATCCTATAAAAACTATACCTACATANTTCAATGCATTCTTGATTAATAGATTTAGTAAATGGTAATTATAAGGATGCTTTAACATTAATATATCTAAGGAATGCATCTTCTATTCTAGTAATATGAAGAGAATCTAATGAATCTAAAATTTCAGCAATAGATTCAATAATTTAAAAAATTTGCTGTCTTAATTTTCTGACAGCAATAAATGTATCAATTTACTCATGATCTCTTAAATCTTCAATATTTTTGATTTCATAATAACCAGAAATTTCAGTAGTAGTAAAGGTGAGATTAGTTGAAATAGGATGAACATGATTCATATTAAGTAATTTAAGGAATAGAGTATAATTGAATTCTTGATCATAATTTAGTTATGAATAATCCAATCTAGAAATTTTAGGTAAAAAAACAGAATCTGTAGTTTTTTTGATTAAAGCAAGCATATGTTCTAATTCGATATTTTAATTAGTATTAAGAGATTGAGTAATGAAATTCTTACATTAATGAGCCAATTTTGAACGATGAAAGGATATCGGTTGTCCCTCCAATTTAATAGATATTAGCCTTTAAAGTGAAGGAATATCAAATGGGTCATTGTTAATGGAATTGATGAAATTTTAATTAGGGTTAATGGAAAGAACTGGCAAACCCATTTTGACTAAGTTATCAAATAAAGATTCATAAAAAGGTTTTCTGGATAGTAAGGCATCAAGGATTTCATTATCTGTTGTAACCTATTCTGATAATTATTATGAATAAATGTTTTACGTTATGGAATAGAGTTCGTTAATTAATGATTGGACTAAGAGATATCTACAGACATTATTATAATTAGTAAAAATTAAGCCCAAAATATTTGTGTGATATTTATTTTATACAAAGAAAAAGGTTAAAATAATTATTGATAAATTATTTTGGAATGGGGGTTAATTAATTTATATAGTTATAGTTCTTATAATTCTGTAATGGATGTTAAAGAATTTTATATATCAATTATTATTTCAATATTATTTATACAAATTGTATTAATCAAAATTATCATGAATATCAGGAAAAAATGATTAGTAATTAAATTATTATATGATATTAGTATAAATTCATAGAATTAATCGTTGAAAATAAATTTATAAAAAGGAAAAAATTATATTGTGATTTCATCATGGATATAGAATTAATTGAATAAGGCCAAAATACAAAGTTAATTTCATTTTAAGTTTAATAACACATTGATTTTATCAAATAGATATGATATGTTAATTATTTAAGATAATCTAATTCGAAAAAGAATATTTATAAATAGATGATAATTGTTTAATGAGAGATCTATATGCAATCCTATAAAAACTATACCTACATATAGCAAAAGGAAGTTGAGAAAATCATCTTACCATCAATAAGGCTTATATTGTAAATTTAATGCATAATAATATAAATCAACTCTAATAATGTTGGATTAAATATTCCAAATAAAAATAAAAGTCTATTCAATTTAAAGTTATTAAATAATTTCTCTAAACTGATAAAAAATAAGAAGGATCAAAAATAATTCACTTAAATCAATTTACTAAATAGTATATTATACAATGGAACCGAATTAAGAATATATGTTTTCTAATTCTAATTATAATGATATCTAGAATCCTATTGCTTCCAATATTTAAATCAATCTTACCAAAAAGAATTCTAAAAGTGGGTATGATATTATGTTATGTAATTTTCTTGTTTTAATCTCTTAGAGGAGAGAAATATGATGAATAATAAAGAAAAATAATAATAATTCTTGATTTAAAAAGATTCATTTAGAATAAATATAGGATAGAATTAATAGAGACTGAAAAAATAGAAAAGGAATTGTCAAATAAAATGAAGGTGACAAGAAATTAATTATGATTATCAAATCATTTGGGAATCATAGGAGAAGGACACTTTAATACCTTTTGAAAGAATAATATACTTGAAGTATTTAGTGTTATAAATAAAATAGTTTTATTTAAATAAATTTAATCCATGTGGTACAAGTATAGTTAAATATTAAATGATACAATTTTGATGAAGATCAAATGAATGAGTTGGATGAATTTGAGTTTATATATTTTGTGTTTTACAAACGTAGATGAATAGAAGAATAATAGTTAATACTTAAGATTGAAATTTATATATATAAAGTTGAAAATATTTAATGTAAATTAAAAAACTAAAGTGGAAAACAGATTTTGAAAAATCAGTTATTATTGAGAATTTTGTGAATAGAGGTTGGATAAAATCGTAAGAAAAGGAAGAAGACTCTACTGATTGGAATGTTTATTGGGCAACTGTATGGAATGTAAGAAATATATTTAACCCTAAAAATGGTATGAGATTGAATGACTAAGTAATTTAAAAATCAATCATAGTAAATCATAAATCACTTTCCTAATCATTATGAATTAACAAGAAAAGATTGTATGGTTAAAAATTTGAAGCGTTTTAAGAGAGAATAAGATAAGGAAATATATGAATAATAAGGATGGAATTTTGATTTTTTACCAACAACTTATGTCTTTCCAGGAGAATATTCTCTATTTGTTGAAGAATTTCATAGATGTCCAAATTAGACATGGATTGTTAAACCTGCAGCAAGAAGTTAAGGAAAAGGAATATTTCTATTAAGAAAAATTTAACAACTAAAGAAAATTTCAGGAACCACTGTAACAAGCAATATGACTTAACTTAATCTTGCATCTAAAGAGAATTATGTAGTTTCTAAATATATTGATAATCCACTTTTAATAGGTGGTAAGAAGTTTGATTTAAGAATGTATGTTTTAGTTACAAATTACAAACCACTAAAAGTTTGGATCTATAATAAGGGATTTGGAAGATTTTGCAATGAATAATATACTACTGATGTAGCTGAAATAGAAAACATGTTTGTTCATTTAACAAATGTTGCTATTTAACAATATAGTGATAAATATTCATAAAAACATGGTGGTAAATATTCAATAGATGCTCTAAAATTCTATGTTGAATCAGCCTATGGAACAGAATCATTCTAAAAAATGATGGATGATATTCACAATATTATTCTTACTTCTTTAAAAGTAAACAATATATTAGAATTTTAGTCAGTATAAGCTGTCATTTAAAATGATAAACATTGTTTTGAAATGTATGGCTATGACATCTTACTTGATGCTAATTTAAAACCTTGGTTGATTGAAATTAATGCTAGTCCCTCTTTGACTACAACTACTCCGGTAGACAAGAATTTAAAACTCAATCTCATTAATGATGTTTATAATATTGTACTACCTAATGATGATTTCCCAGATAATGAATAAAAATGTAAATATCTATTTATATCAAGAACAATAAATCAATAAAGTTGGTGGCTTTAGTGTTCTATATGATGAAAGTTAAGATTTAATAAATCGTAAAGCTCAGAAAAGACAAAGTGTAAAAATATGGAAATGAGTAATTATTTTCTATATTTATACTATAATTTTTGTGCCAAATATTATATAATTAAATTTATTAAAAACAATTATGGCACCAAAAAAAAAAACTTAAAAATAACAAAGTTCAATAAGTATAAGAGATTTATTATTTCTTAAGGCAAAAAATAACCAGCAAAAATAGAGAAAGTTCAACCAGCTCCAATAGTTCCTAGTGCTTAATCTACAAAAATAAAGAATGTGAAACCAGACTTTTATTTTGTGATTCCATAGGATGAAGAAGAGCATTATAGAAGAGAAGTGTACCAAAGAAGAGAGAATAGAAATAAGAGTTGCATAGATATGAATGAAAATAGACAGTACAATTATAATTAAAAGGAGGGATAATTTCGCGCCTCAAGAGATTCCTGTTATTAATAAGGTATCTTAAAAAATAGTGATTGAGTAAGAATGTACCAATGACTCGTCGTAGTTATTTACTTTGAATCAATCAGAATTGCCAACTAATACTTCAAGGCAATTAAATAAACCAAAGATATTATCTATAAAGCCAAAAAAGTTAATAATGAATCCAAAAGTTCAAGATGACACTATGGACATGGAAGAGGATTGGTATTAAGAACTTAACAAGGATATCAATCATACTAAACATTATCTATTAGGAGTTCCAAAATAGACATAATAACATAATGAGAATTCGTTAACAACTGAAAGAAATTCATATACAAAGAATATTAAGAAATTAGATTTAGATTTATAAATAGAACCAACATAAACTTAAACTTCTGTGAAATTATCTAAAGCAATGAAGACTAAATTAGATTCTATGAATGAATGTTACAATTCTCTATTAGAAGCTACAATTCCAGAAGAGATATTATGTAGAGATTAAGAAAAAGATTTGATTACTAAATTTATAGAAGATGGTGTAAAGAATAATGGATAATCTTAGGCATTATGTAAATATAATTATTAAATTAAGATATTTCTGGAGTACCAGGAATTGGTAAGACTGCAACAGTTATGGAAGCTTAAAAGAAATTATTAAGTAAAAAAGATAATTTCTAATTTATATATGCTAATGCTATGAATTTTGGATTGCCTGATAATATATATTCTTTTTTATTAGAGAAACTCACTAGTATAAAAGATGCTTCTAAAGCATAAGCATGCATATTATTAAGTATTAAAAATACATTATAATTTAGCTGAATTATTTACTAAAGGTTGTCTACCTACAAACTATAAAGCATATGAAAAATCTGTTATTAAGAAAAATAGAGTCATTCTTTTAGATGAATGTGATAATCTATTTACTCCTGATTAATAAGTGTTATATAATTTAGTAGATTGGCCATAATAAAAACATGCAAAGTTGACAATAATTATGATTGCTAATACAATGGATTTTCCAGAAAGATTGAAACCTAAATTATAATCAAGACTTGGAAATCATAGAGTTGTTTTTAGACCTTATACAAGTACTTAAATTGAAACTATTTTGTAATAAAGAATGAAAGATAAGAAAATCAAAGAATTATTTGCATCAAACACTCTAAATTATCTTGGAAAAAAGATTGCAACAATCTCTACTGACATTAGAAAAACTTTATGTGTTTGTAGAAAAGCTATTGAAATTGGAAAAGAAGAACTTCTTAAAACTGCATAATTTAAACATATTGAAGTTAATCATGTGAAAATTGCCTATGATAGAATTTATAACAAAGCTTATCATGCTTGTTTACATTCATTCAGTAAATCACTTAAATTACTCTTAATTACTATTGCCTTAGAAATTCATATTAAAGGATATAATGTTGTTTATCTTTAATAAGTTCTTTAAAGATTCAATTAACATCTTATATAAAATAAAGATGATCCTATTACTTATTAAGAAATCAAATCTATACTATTAAAATTAACTGAATTAAACTTAGTTGAAGTTAAAGAATAAAATATTCTCCTGAATAAAACTTCTTGGTAATAGAAAGTTAATGTAAATATTTGTATTTATTTTAGGACTCCCTCTAAAAAGATAACTTAAGAAATATTAATGACTTAATGATCCATTTGAAAATCAATGTTGACGACATTAAAAATGGTCTCTCAAATGATACATTGTTTTAATAGTTTTCTTAGTTTTTCTGATCCAATTGAATCATATTCATATTTAGAATTATCATTATATATTTTATAATCATCTTGATTCATTTATCAATCTCTATTATCTGCAATTACATATCAGAATACCAATTATCTAAATTATTACTTATTTCTAGGCTAATAGATACTCCAAATATTTAGAAACTTTTAAAGGTCTTTTTCTTAAATCTTAAATTTGTTCATTTAAGATTACCACGCATATATTTATAATAAATACAAGAACATTAATTTAATTAAGATTATATTATAAATTAAGAATGTATTATTCAGTGTTTTTTGCTTGAAAAATCTTAAATAAAACTAAAATTCTCCTTTGATATCTATCCATATAAAATTAAATTTATAATTAATCTTCACTAAATAATTTATAAATGAAATTCAATTTTATTTATAAAATTCTCATAATTATTAGCTATTTATTTGGTGATTCATCATGAATTTCAGAAGTAATTAATTTTATTAATGACCCTAATATTAATTAGACTTGGTAATTAAAAATATCAATATATTTTTTTTTCCTTTTCTCCGTAATTGTTGGGGTTAACTTAATCACTTTTTTTAATTGTCTAATTCTTTGAAATTCAACATATAATTATCTAATTAATTATTAAAAATCGAATACTCTTTCAACAATTGGAATTAATGAGTAAATTTTTTTCACATCATAGGAAATAATTAAATGCTGAATTTTTTAAATTAGAAATGAAAACAAATGTAAATAGTTTAATGAAAAAGATTGATTTACTATTCAGAAATTTCAAAAAAACCATCTTATGTAGTTATATTAAAATTAATATAAAACTCATTTATGAATTCATGGACTCTTTCCTTTTCGGATTCTAATTTAGAATCCTAATTTTCACATGCTCACTAAAATCATGTTAGAAGATGTTAAGAGAAACAAAAATGGTTAATAATCGTTATTTTAGCTCTTCTGATGGTTGAATAGGTTTTGGAAAAATTTTGGATAAGTGTTGCAATCTGGTCTTTTTGTTTGTGTTTATTATTTATTTCTTATAGATTTAGAAATTAAACTAAACTCATTGAAAAAGTATTTTTCATCACAATAATTTTATTACTTGCCATATATAAACAAAATCCTAAATTTTTTGATGGTATATCAAAGGAATAATTCAATATCGACTCAGTGCTTACTACTTTCGCAACTTTTTGGTATATATGTGATTAACATAGTTTAATTAGAAATTTTAAAATTTTAAAGCAATACTTAATTTTAATGATCATATTTATATTTAATATGATAATTTAGTACAGATAAGTTGAAGTATCAGCTTTAACCATTTTATAAAATCTTATATATATAGCTGTGATTCTTCAACACATGTATTAGAAAGAATAACATAAAAGAATTAATTATATTGAGGACATTAATTAGGTTAAAATTAATGAAATACTTTTTAATTAATTAAATATATAATTGTATCGAGTTGCTTATGATACATCAGCATGTTAATTGATTCTTCTATAAAGAAATTTATTAACTTCAATAAATTAATCAGATTAAATAGAATTTAATAATGAGATAAGACAGATTTAAATATAAATAAAAAAGAATAAAAGAATTTCAGATTAAATTTTGTTCAATTAAATTAATTAAAAAATGACTTTGGAGTAATTTTTGATTTTGATTCTAAACAAAAAGTCTAGCAAATTGACTTAGGAGGTTTTGAATCAAAATGAATATTAATTAGTAGGTGTTATAAATTTAGGGGATTTTTAGATTTATGTACATAGAACATTTTATATTATGCCTAGTGTAATAATAATAATAAAGAAAAATTATAAAGAACATTAAATTGAGGAATTGAAATTAAAAAGAGACACACTTAAACGTGGATTGGATTTCGTTCAAGATATATTTATGACAAATATAAAACCTGTATTGATTTACTATACTTGGATTAAAAACCATTCGAACATTTAGAAAGATGCTTAAAAAATAAAAGTACTACATAAAATAATATAAGCTAAACTTTACAAAGCCTAACATGAATATTAGAATTTAAAAGATTTTTTTCAAATAAACAAATAGTTTTAAAAAACCATTATTCTATCATTTGCAATTGATAAAATTATGTAATTTATCATAGATGTTGTCAGTGATAATTTGATGAATAAAAAGAATCTGAGGATACAATTTATAAATAAATTGCAATAGAAAGAAATTAATCAAGATTAAGCTTAATTTATTTAACTATTTTTCAATTTGTTATTTTTTATATCTGAAAAATCAGAAGATATTAAAATAACAATAAAAGATTTTATGATGCCAGAAATGTTACATCAAATTCTGTAAGTAAAGATTGATTATATTGGCAACCCTATTTCTAGATAATTTTTATAGAAATTGCCAATAATCAATCCTTAAAATTTACAAGATTATATTGATAATAGTAGTGGAACATTTAGTCTTGATTTGCCTATAGCTTTGATGATAATAAGAAAACTTGGACCTTAGGATAAGTTAATCTGGAAATAAATCAATAGAGGCGAAATTTCTTTAGAGTTTTATCTTTATAGAAATCTTCCAAGTGATCTTCATCTTTTACCTGTAATCTCTTTAAAACCTCATAAAAATATTATATATAAATCTAGCCAAACTAGAAGAAAGACTTTAATATATGATCATGTATATGAAACTGTTCATTTACCTGCAATGTAAACTGATAGAGAATTATTATGAATAATTATTTTTAATATATATATAATAATTACAAAAAATTTATCATTATGAGAGATTGTCATATATCTTTTCTACATATACCAAAGTTTTTAAAAAACTATCTTCTCCATATACAGATTATGGAGGTAAAATATAAGGTAATTGTCTTATTTTATAAAAACGATTTTTAAAGAATCGAAATAATAAAAATGATGCCAAACCCTAATAAATAACAAAAACAACATTAAATAAAATAAAAAGAAATTGTCGTGTGTTAATTTCATGTTCAAATTTATTTATTAAAAAAGATTTTCCTTCTGACATTATAATATCAAATCCAATGCTTATGAAATTTAAACCAAATAAATCTGTAATAGTAATTTTTGATAATGAATCTTAATTATAATAATTTTGAATATTATCCCTAACTTTTTAATTAAAGTATTCTATAGAATAAATCAAACCTTATGTCAATTTTCCATCTATTACAGTTTTACACATCTCATCATCAGTTATTAAAATACAAACATCTTAAGTCAAATATTACATTAAATCATAATAATTTGTCTATGCTTCAGAATATAATTGATGAGTAAATGTTGAAACTTCAATATAAGATTTATTAACTAGTTCTTAATATTCTTAGATAAAAATATTTCTTTATTATGTATTTGAATTAGAAATAGTAAATCTCTATAAGACTTAATCAGCCATCATCATTTAGTAAAATTATTCTGTGTAAATAATATTTTGATTGAAAAGATTCAAATTATTTTATAACTCCTCTATATTTTAAGAGTTAAATAATTTTATAGCCAAAAAATAAGCCAATCCAATGAAATAAGTAAGAACAGAGAATAAAAAAAAGAATCTTTAAAAATAAGGTTTTTCATCTCCGATAAGAAATTGTTTTTTTTATTCTAATTATTAAACTATTTATTAATAACGAATTGAAATTCTCTTATTACCAAATAATTCATCGAAATTTGTGGTCTAATTACATTTGTCTTTAAATTAAAACTAATATTAATATAGATTTAGATCAGATGATTACTAATAATGATGCTATAATGAGAGTAATCTAATTGATTCAGTCTCTAAAGCTTTGAAAGATATTTATTCACAACTTCTTAAAATTCTATTCAATAATTTAAATGTTTAAGTAAAAATTACTAAAAAGACTAAAACAAAAAGGACTTCAGCTAAAGTATATATAATTAAACATATATTTTATTGAGTTTCTATATCTTAAACATTAGAATTTAATTAGCTTTAGAATTTAATTGTTATTTCTTCATAAGTTACTTTATGTACATGATATTGCCTTATGAGTGAAGTCAATGAATTATTAAATCGTTTAATAGTTGTGACATTATTAAGATCGATTCCATATAAACCTTATAACATGTAAATAACATAGAATTACTCAGTCCATGCACTTACTATTTAGTTTTACTCACTATAAAAGTCATATTAGTCAATATTTATATTAGACAATATTGATTCCACAAGACTATCATCTAAATATTCTTGATAATGAGATAAATAAATTTCACTATTATTTTAAACTAATTCTAGTAATTTATTTAAATGATCTGTATTATTAATTTCTTTATATTAATTTGTATCTACTCCTAAAGCAAATAACGTATTTTTAGTGTAATCTGTAGTTACAAAGGCTTTTAAAATTTCAACAATCTTCATATTATCTTCTAATTTATATTTAAAGTTAAAGTAGAAGATACAAGAGAGAATCAAAAGTAATAATAAATTAATAAAATCTATGATTAAAATTGTATTGATTAATCTTGGATTATTATCTGAAGAAGAAAATTTAGTGTAAAGATGTGTTTTTTATAAAATAGATGGCAATCCAGTATTTGAAGTAGTTGCTGTTTATGTAATGCGAATATCTTAATCCTTTTGAATTTATTAATTTTCTGATTGATTATTATCAACATCAAATGATTTCTTAGAGACAGTTTTATAAAAATAAGATTGTTAATGTTTTTATGTAGTCTATAACTTTTATGAACTCTTACTTATTATTTGTAATTATTATAAACTTTATCCATCAATTTAAATACTATTAATATTCTATTCATGATTAATATTAGGAGTTTAGCTCTTTTCATCATTTATGAGTAAAAGTAGATCTCTTTAAGAATCAAAAGGACTATGAAAATTTGGACCAATTTGAAATTAATATTCTTAAAAATTGATTGATTAATTTAGTTTTTATTCATTAATGTTTGAAAATTCACAATTTTAATCACTATCAGTAAACATTCTAATTTCTGAATTAGATAGATCTCTATTTGGAGATGCATTAAAATTAATCTCTGTTCTTTATTATAAATTTCTTTATGATTCTATCCAAATTTAACTTGTATTATCTGCATATGTAATCTTTTAAAGCTAAATTAAATAAGACTTGTATTCTTTCTAATTTATTTTACCTATTGTCATTATAAATTTACAAGATATACTATAAATTTCTTAAAATGTATCTTAATTAGGTATTCTAAATAATAGATCTTCAGCAGATATAGAAAAATGATTCATTAGTTATTCTGTTTCATTATTATCTAATTTCTTAGAACAACTTCCTTAATCATAACGAATTGCTTCTTATTCTAAAAACTTTTTCTCTTTATCATTTAGAAGATCTAAATACTTTTTAAAGTTTTATATTAAATAATGTATTTTTTTTTAATATAATGCACTTCCATCTTTCATTTTAAATTATTCCAATGCTATTGTAGATATTCCTTCAATTTTTAATTCATCATTTAAGAAAATATGGCCTTTGACATTTTCATTATCTCCATTTGATTTTATTTATTTTAAAAAACAATAAATTGGAAATGTATCTCCTTATATATTAAAACAAATGTCAATAAACATTTCAACAAAAATCAAATCTTTATTCTTTTTATATCCTAATAATCCTCTCTTTTTTCTAAGTATTTATGGTCGATTAGTTAATAAGAAGATTTCAATTAATTAATCATGAATAACTGATAAATGAGGTATTACTAATTAATGTACTGTTAAAACTTCGTCTTTGAATTCTCTCTATCCATATCCAAACATTTAAGGAGCATTATTTGAAAATTGAATTATTTCTCCTCTTTATATTTTACCTTTTTTAGCATGTCTTGCAAGATTAATCTTTAAATAGCATACTTTTGGACCTTATTAATTATTATTAGGCAAATTATTTTCAAAAAACTTATAATTTTTAGTTTTTAATTTATTTCTCAATCTTATAAATTTATTAAAATCGTTAATGATTTCAAATGAGTAAAACATATAAATTAAAATGCTTGTTCTTGAAAATGAAAATTAATTAAACTATTCGATTTTTCTGATCACTCCTAAATTATAATCAACCATATTGTTTATTTATTAGTATAATTTCTCATAGTTATATTTTGTGTCAATCAATCTTCTAAGAAAGTCGTATTTCACTTAAATATTATTAAAGATTTCAGATATAAGTTTGTCTCTTCTTACTTCTGTAATTCTAAAATCCTTGTATTGTAATGCTGCTTCAACCTCTTCTATTTTTACAAGGGGATTCATCTTCAATAAAATCTGATGTTTGATATAACTGAATAAAACAGTCATAACTACATGAGATAAATGATTTGATTTAGTTTTTAATTTCTGTTTAACTTCCATAACTAATAACAATATTTAATAACATTCCTCTGAAGTGCCAAGATAAGTTAATAATTATGTTATCCGTATGATATCAACATTTTCTTTTTCTTTTTCTAATTCAAATATAAGTTTTGTATAATATCTTATATATCTTTTAATTAATTCAACCTAGATTGAGATATTTTTTATCTTAAGGGATTTGTAAATTCTCATATCTAGTTCATGATAATTATTTTCTATGATTCTTCTGGCCTCTCCTCTAAAGCCTTTACAATAGCAATAAACACTATCACATTATAATATATGTTGTTTTAATAACACGATCACATTTAAAATAAATTTGGATCTATTAACATTGATAACAGAATTATCTTTTTCGATTGATTGTTGATCATCTAAATTCATTAAGTCCACTAACCTCAAATATTGAATGAAGAATTTGTAGTTTTGATTCTTCAAATATTCAAGTTAAATTTATCTTTAATAATGCAATTCCTTTTCTATTACAAATTATTATTCTTCTTCAATAAGAAGTCCTGTTTTGGATTAAATTTTTATTTTTGACTTCTTTTTTTCTTTGTATTAAGAATCAAATAATATTTGTTCGTTTTGATATTTTGAAAATTCATTGAGCAATCTTGAAATCAAAGGGACTGTTATAAGTGTAATTGAAATGATTTCAATTTAAGTATGTTAGAAAAATAAAGAAATAATAACAGTCATTGTAAATGGAATGATTATAAGGATGGTTTAAGTTTTATATGTATCCATAAATGGATGGGAGAGATAGAAATCGATTAAATCTCCAATTTGTAGAATTAGAACGATAGCCATATTTAGATAATGATGGGTTGAATTATGATCATATTCACTTTCAGAATACATTATAAAATAAAACTATTAGATAATGACTGGTAAAACTATAATAAGTTATGATAAATTAAACCAAAAGGATTTAACTAATCTTAAATGATTTTGATCTCTGATTGTGTAGGTTTATTAAATTTGCATTGATAAATACCAAAGTAAAACTGTTCCTATGTTTGATAAGATATTAAAGAAGATCATAAAATGAAATTGAATATTATCTAAATTATTATCATAAGATATAATCTACCAAACTACAAGATTCCAAATAAGTAAAGGTATTACAATGATATGAGGGTATATATTAAAAAATGTTGCTTATGCATATTTTTCCATTTATTGAAAAGAGGATTGTTCATTACCCATAAATTATTTTTATAAAAAGTATTCAATGAAATTATGCATATTATAGGAACGATTTAGTAAATTTAGATTATCTAAAAAATGATATGTTTAAATAATATACAATTTAGATTGTTTTGATCATCAATTGAAGAACAATATTTAATTGTAGAATACTCGAACTTCTCCTTATGTATAATAAAGAATGTAAATAAAATAGGTCCATAGAGTAAAAGAATGACCAAAAATTGAATAATAATAATTCCAAAATAAGGGAAGCTTTCTAGTATTAGAATAGTAGGAACAGTTATTTTTGAAATCAATTCAAATAAAGAGTAGTGAATAGATGTATTTATATTGCGATCTAAAGTTCTTATTTGTAAAATTTCAATAATGATATTGAAAAGAAAAAGTAATGCTAGTTTTTGAAAATGAGCAACTATTTCAATGAAGATCCAGAAATATTTAGAGTCTTTTGAGAGTATGATTTGTGAAAATCCAATAGTAAATTATTGATACTCTAGCCAATATTAGTTAATCATTTAAAATATAATGATAAAATTTGGATCTAACTATGCCTAAAAAATATAGCATTTATATTCAAATAAGCCATTTTCATTTGCAGTATGATAATTAATTGAATTATGAAGATAATTGGAAGTGGTCCAGCAGGTTTGTATACTGCTAAACATTTATTCAATGATATTGAGAATATTAATATTCATGTTTTTGAATAGGATCTATGTCCAACAGGATTAATTAGATATGGGATGGCACCTGATCATTAAAGAATTAAGAGAGTCGCAGAAGAATTGTTGACAATTAAACAATATGAATAATGTCATTATTTTGGAGGTGTCACAATTGTAATATATTCTCTCTCTATTTATAAAAGGGCAAGGATATAACTATTGATGAATTAGATCATATGTATTCTGCTGTATTTTATGCTTTTGGTGCATAATGTGATAAACCATTAAATATTCAAGGAGAACAATTAAATAATGTTTATTCGGCTCGTTAGATTGTTAATTGGTATAATAGTCATCCAAATTACTATGATCTTGATATTACATTTAAGAATAAAAATAATATAGCAATCATAGGGTGTAAAACTATTTTTATGTTTTTAGAAATGGTAATGTTGCACTTGATATTGCTCGTATATTTGGATTAAATTAAGAAGAATTATAAAAGACTGATATTAATGAGATTTCTATTGAGAAATTGAAGAACAATAATATTACTAATGTATATACAATTATAAGAGGTAGATTGTAATAATAGGGAGAAGAGGTTTAGTTTAATCATAATTTTCATTAAAGGAATTAAGGGAGATGACAAAATTAACTTAATTTAGATTTTTGCTCTATAAACCAGATTTAATTTAGAGTTTGAATGAGGAGAGTTAGACTGAATGTAAAGACTTAGGTATAAATTATGGAAATGTGGTATGATTTTAATATAGAATATAATAGACTAGGGGAAATAGAAGAAAATTAGAATTTATGAGAGGATTTGAAATAATTGAAGATGAAGCTACAATGGATGCAATTTTGTAAGAGTAGAATACTAATGGAAAGATTAATGTAATTTTAAGATTCTTGCTTACTCCTATAAAAATAGAGTAGATCAATGATTAATTACATTTGAAACTTTAACATAATTAATTATCAGGGAAAGCATTTAATTAAATGGCAATACCAATAGAGGAATAATCAACTATAAAATGTGATATGATTATTAAATCAGTTGGTTATCAATCTCATAAGTATTTTAATTATAATCATTAACAAATTATAGTATAGATTAACATCTACCATGGAACTATGAATAAAATATAATAGATAATTCAGATGGATGTATAAAAAAAGATAATTCTAAATTGAAAGTGGGATCATATGCTTGTGGTTGGATAAAAACGGGTCCAAAAGGAGTTATAGATTCTACATTTGGATCTTCTTAGGAAACTATAGTTAATTTTAAGAATCATATGGATGCTGATTTAATCAAAAATATTCATGATCCATATGAAGAAGTGGTGAATTTACTTAAATAGAGATCAATCAATTATATAGACTTTAAAGTTTGGGATAGAATTAATGAATTTGAAATATAGTAAGGATTAAAAGTAAAGAAACCTAGGATAAAAATAACAAAGAATAAAGAATTCTTGTAATTTTTATGATGATAATGTTCGTATTTTTAACATAAATATATTTTATTCAAAATGTACATGAGATCGATTTTCAAATTGAGATAAGCATTTTCAGGTATATATATAAAGTAAATGTATATAAGTGTTAACAAAATACACTAAAGATCATGAATGGATTAAATATGATACATAAACAAAGATTGCTAAAATTGGAATAACAGATTATGCACAAAAAGAATTAGGTGATATAGTTCATGTAGACTTCTAAAAAGTAGGATTGGTATTCAAAACACACCAATCATTAGGAGCAATTGAAAGTGTAAAAGTTGCTGCTGATATTTATGCTCCAGTTGCTGGTGAGATTGTTAAAGTAAATTTCTTATTTAAAACAAGATTAATGAAGATTTGAAAGACTCTCCTAATTTGATTAATGAGAAAGCAGAAGAAACATGGATTTTGTAAACAAAAGTGTAAAATGAAGCTGAGTTAGATACATTATTAGATAAATAATCATATGAGAAAATCATTAATAAATGAGAAGATTATTATTAATAATACATCATTCCAATTAAGTTATATTCTAATATATTAATCACAACAATAAAATTATCAAAATTAGATGCCTAATTGATTTTCTCTTATCCATCCACAACAATTAACAAACCTTTCTTAATTCAGTATTGGTTAATCTGCAAAATACTTTATTATTCTTTATCCTGAACTTCTATCTTCAATTGTTCTATCTTAATTCTCTAAAATAGCTTCTATTAATAATTAATCTTCATCTAATTGTCTACCATCCATTTTTTATTGATAATACTCTTCTTCAACTTTTGGAAGTTAAGCAATCCTTTTTTGTATTAACTATTTAAAAAATTGAACATATTTAATACTTCTTTAATGTTCTCCAAATCAAATTGTAATGTTCCCATTTTCAATTTTTAATAAAATTCTATTGCTTAATAATACTTTCTAGTCCTTAATAACTTTTTAACAAACTCTTTTAAAACTTTAATATCTGCTAAATTCTTAATAATCTCATTTACTATATTGTCTTATTCTGGTGTAAATTCAATTTATAATAAATTATATGTTTCCTATTGATTTAACATCTATTTCACAAAATATTTTAAAGCTTAATCCTCTTTTAACTCTGTCACATACACATATGCTTATAAGGATCTTTTAGATGCAATCAATAATCTTATAATTATATCACTATTGCTTAAACTATTCCAATCAATCCTACTAGCCAATAATAATTCATAAGCATCTTATACTTAATGCAATTCCATCAATCTTTCTATTACTAATAATTTCCAATTCTCTATCTCAAAGTAATAAAGCATCATTAATTTTACAATATTATTATAATGTTGTTCTTATTACTTCTGTTATTCAATTATGTATATATCCATTAAAAATATTGCTTAATATAAACGAAAGTATTTCCCTCTTACTATCTATACTCTTTCTATCTCAGCATTTTATATCTACTATATTTATAAAATGTATGTAATCATTAATTCCTATTGATAAATTGTTAAATCTGATATCATCATCAGTAACTCTTCTTCAGACATCTCTCTTATTTCTCTTTTAAATACTATCACTTTCTTTAATAAATTATATTGAGAAGACTCTTCTAAACATTCTATTATTCCATTCTAATTCTATTAATAAAATTCATAATTCTTCAAAAAACAATTTATATCATTTATCTTACTGAATTTTTGTTATAAATTCTCTAAATCTCCTTATGCAATATCAGGAAGAGGTAACTTTTTTATTTCTTTTTTTTTTCGATCTTTATTCAAATAAATTTTATACTTATTATTGAGTTAAATAATTTCACTATGTGACCTGAAATCTATTTCTAACACTCTTTATTCCTTATTGCCTCATCTAATAACTTATTCTATATCTCATATATAATATAAGCCATATCATCCAATTTTTTCAAAAAATAATAACCATTTAATGGTGATTAATCCCGCCTATATACCAATTTTATCAAAATATCCAAACCAATCTCATATTTAAGCATCTTACACAATAAAATTTATCTATTCTCTTAATATTCTTAAGATGATTTCACTTCAAAATTTATATTCAATTCTAATCTAATCTAATCAAAAATATTTGGTAATATCATAAAGTTCATATCAAAAAAGTAATGATCTTAACTAGCTGTAAGAAAATCCTCTTCTATCTAATCTCTTGAGATTTCTTAATCCATTTTATATTTTTTATTATTAATTTTTAAATTACTAATAAAACAACACCTCCTACCCTTTTTCGATTCAATATGAAATAAAAATTGAAATTTGATCAAACACTTTATGCAGATGTAGAATATTTGGATGAAAAAGGAAATTTTGATTT